TAGGGAATAGGGTGCAATTTGGGATGCAGATCTGTTGTCATTAACCATCTCTGGACCTCGCTGGCATGGCAATGGCATGTTCTGGGGTTTGGCTTATCCCATTCATTATTTTATGAAGGTACAGTGCATTCGGAAAGTATTCAGGGCCCTTGACGTTTTCCACATTTGGTTACGTTACAGCCTTATTCTAAAATGGATTAAATAAATACAAATCCTCATCAATCTACAAACAATACCCCATAATGAGAAAGCGAAAACAGGTTTCTAGAAATCTTTGAAAATGTTATAAAAAAACAGAAATACCTTATTTACATAAGTATTCAGACCCTTTGCTATGAGAGACTCGAGATTTAGCTCAGGTGCATCCTGTTTCCATTGATCATCCTTGAGATGTTTCTACAACTTGATTGGAGTCCACCTGTGGTAAATTCAATTGATTGAACATGATTTGTAAAGGCACACAGTTGACAGTGCATGTCAGAGCAAAAACCAAGCCATGAGGTCAAAGGAATTGTCCATAGAGCTCCGAGACAGGATTGTGTCGAGGCACAGATCTGGGGAAGGGTACCAAAACATTTCTGCAACATTGAAGGTCCCCAAGAACACAGTGGCCTCCATTATTCTTAAATGGAAGAAGTTTGGAACCATCAAGACTCTTTCTAGAGCTGGCCGCCCGGCCAAACTGAGCAATCGGGGGAGAAGGGCCTTGGTCAGGGAGGTGACCAAGAACCCGATGGTCACTCTGACAGAGCTCTAGAGTTCCTCTGTGGAGATGGAAGAACCTTCCAGAAGAACAACCATCTCTGCAGCACTCCACCAATCAGGTCTTTATGGTAGTGGCCAGACGGAAGCCACTCCTCAGTAAAAGGCACATGACATCCCGCTTAGAGTTTGCCAAAAGGCACCTAAAGGGATCTTAGACCATGGGAAACAAGATTATCTCGTCTGATAAAACCATGATTGAACTCTTTGGCCTGAATGCCAAGCGTCACGTCTTTAGGAAACCTGGCACCATCCCTACGGTGAAGCATGGTGGTGGCAGCATCGTGCTGTGGGGATGTTTTTCAGTGGCAGGGACTGGAAGACTAGTCAGGATCGAGGGAAGATGAACGGAGCAAAGTATAGAGAGATGCTTGATGAAAATCTGCTCCAGAGCGCTCAGGACCTCAGACTGGGGCGAAGGTTCACCTTCCAACAGGACAACGACCCTAAGCACACCGCCAAGACAACGCTGGAGTGGCTTCGGGACAAGTCTCTGAATGTCCTTGAGTGACCCAGCCAGAGCCCGGACTTGAACCCGATCTAACATCTCTGGAGAAACCTGAAAATAGCTGTGCAGCGACGCTCCCCATCCAACCTGACAGAGCTTGAGAGGATCTGCAGAGAAGAATGGGAGAAACTCCTCAAATACAGGTGTGCCAAGCTTGTAGCGTCATACCCAAGAAGACTCGAGGCTGTAATCGCTGTACAAGGTGCTTCAACAAAGTACTGAGTAAAGGGTCTGAATACTTATGCAAAAGTGTCTAAAAACCTGTTTTTGCTTTGTCATTATGGGGTATTGTGTGTAGATTGATGAAGAAAAATAACAATGTAATCCATTTTAGAATAAAGCTGTAACACAACGAAAAAGTCAAGGGGTCTGAATAATTCCGAATGCACTGTATATTTCTTATTATGAGTCTTTGTTAATCAATATGGTAATGAGCTACTCAATCTTTCTATTTGTAATGAGGCATTATTTTTCCCATATTAGTCTGATGCATGATCATTCAGAGAATATTTAAATTGTGTCGTGTGCACGTACAATGCCTTCAGAAAGTATTCACACTCCTTGACTTTTTCCACATTTTGTTGTTACAGCCTGAATTTAAAATTAATTCAATTGAGATTTTCACTGGGCTACAGACAATATCCCATAAGGTCAAAGTGGAATTATGTTTATTGAAACCTTTGCAAATTAATTACAAATGAAAAGATGAAATGTCTTGAGTCAATAAGTATTCAAACCCTTTGTTATGGCAATCCTACATAAGTTCAGGAGTACAAATGTGCTTAACAAGTCACATAATAAGTTGCATGGACCTATGCAATAATAGTGTTTAACATAACATAATTTTTGAATGACTACCTCATCTCTGTACCTCAAACATACAGATAATTGTAAGGTCCCTCAGTCGAGCAGTGAATTTCAAACACAGATTCAACCACAAAGACCAGGGAGGTATCCAGTGCCTCGCAAAGAAGGGCACCTATTGAGCATGGTGAAGTTATTAATTACACTATGGATGGTGTATCAATACACCCAGTCACTACAAAGATACAGGCGTCCATCCTAACTCAGTTGCAGGAGAGGAAGGAAACTGCTCAGGGATTTCACCATGAGGCCAATGGTGACTTTAAAACAGTTAGAGTTTAATTGTTGTGATAGGAAAAAACTGTGGATGGATCAACAACATTGCAGTTACTCCACAATACTAACCTAAATGACTGAGTGAAAAGTAGGAAGCCTGTACAGGGTCAATATTCCAAAACATGCATCCAGCTTGCAATTAGGCACTAATGTAAAACTGCAAAAAATGTGGCAAAGAAATTAACTTTATGTCCTGAATAGAAAGAGTTATGTTTGAGGCAAATCCAACAAACATCACTGAGTACCACTCTTCATATTTTCAAGCATGGTGGTGGCTGCATCACGTTATGGGTATGCTTGTCATCGGCAAGGACTAGGGAGTTTTTGGGGATAAAATGAAACGGAATAGAGCTAAGCACAGGCAAAATCCTAGAGGAAAACGTGGTTCAGTCAGTTGATTACCAAGACGACACTGAATGTTCCTGAGTGGCCTAGTTACAGTGTCGGCTAGAAAATCTATGGCAATCTATGGCAATGATCAACAACCAAATTGACAGAGCCTGAAGAATAAAAAAAATGAATAAAGTGTAAATATTGTACAATCCAGGTGTGCAAAGCTCTTAGAGACTTACTCAGAAAGACTCACAGCTGTAATCGCTGCCAAAGGTGATTCTAACATTACATTTTAGTCATTTAGCAGACACTCTTATCCAGAGCGACATACAGTTAGTGAGTGCATACATTTTCATAACATGTATTGACTCAGGGGTGTGAATACTAATGTAAATGAGATATTTTTATATTTCATTTTCAATACAATTTTCAATTTGGAAACATTTCTAAAAACTTTGTCATTATGGGGTTTGTGTGTAGATGGGTGAGAAAAAATGCATATTTAATCAGTTTTCAATTCAGGCTGTAACACAACAAAATGTGGAATAAGTCGAGGGGTATGAATAGTTTCTGATGGCACTGTTTATGTGTGTACGTGTGTGTGTGTTGGTCACGACTCAGTCACTACTGCATGACTAACAATAAGAACTCGGGGACCACTACTGAACATCCTCAATTAAAACTAAATGATGATGACAGCAACGGCACTAAAACACATAATGAAAATCTCCATAATCATAATGATAATAACAGCAGCATTAGAATGGAGCGTTAACAATGAAGCGTCATGTTTTATATATATTTAATTGTCTCAGTGTGAATCCTGCCTAAGGATTTAATCGCTAGCGGGAATGAAGGCAATAAAAAGCCAATAAGTTAAATTAAAGACATTCTAAGGAGGCTTCCTAAGGTCATCAGTTTATATCATATACTATATATACAAAGGTATGTGGACACCCCTTCAAATGAGTGGATTTGGCTATTTCAGCCACACCTGTTGCTGACAGGTGTATAAAATCAAGCACACAGCCATGCAAAAAAAACGTATATGAGCAACAACGGCTCAGCCACGAAGTGGTAGGCCACACAAGCTCACAGAACGGGACTGCCAAGTGCTAAAAATCACTACCGAGTTCCAAACTGCCTCTAGAAGCAACGTCAGCACAATAACTGTTTGTCGGGAGCTTCATAAAATGGGTTTCCATGACCGAGCAGCTGAACACAAGCCTAAGATCACCATGCGCAATGCCAAGCGTCGGCTGAAGTGGTGTAAAGCTCGTCGCTGTTGGATTCTGGTGCAGTGGAAACGCGTTCTCTGGAGTGATGAATCACACTTCACCATCTGGCAGTCCGACGGACGAATCTGGGTTTGGCGGATGCCAGGAGAAAGCTACCTGCCCGAATGCGTAGTGTCAACTGTAAAGTTTGGTGGAGGAGGAATAATGGTCTGGGGCTGTTTTTCATGGTTTGGGCTAGGCCCCTTAGTACCAGGGAAGGGAAATCCTAACGCTACAGCATACAATGACATTCTAGACGATTCTGTGCTTCCAACTTTGTGGCAACGGTTTGGGGAAGGCCCTTTCCTGTTTCAGCATGACAATGCCCCGTGCACAAAGCGAGGTCCATACAGAAATGTTTTGTCAAGATCGGTGTGGAAGAACTTGACTGGCCTAGACAGAGCCCTGACCTCCACCCCATTGAACACCTTTGAGATGAATTGGAACGCCAACTGTGAGCCAGGCCTAATCGCCCAACATCAGTGCCCGACCTCACTAATGCTTGTGGCTGAATGGAAGCAAGTCCCCGCAGCAATGTTCCAACATCTAGTGGAAAGCCTTCCCAGAAGAGTGGAGGCTGTTATAGCAGCAAAGGGGGGACCAACTCCATATTAATGCCCATGATTTTTGAATGAGATGTTCGACGAGCAGGTGTCCACATACTTTTGGTAATGTAGTGTATAAACCAAAGAACATGTTCACTTCTAGTAGAAAATCCTTTCACTGAATGAACTGAAGTCAGTACCAGTCCGGCGTCTGTGAATTACATATCCAAGTGTTCCATAAATTAGACTGAATTTATACACAGGTGTGCAAATGGAAAGACTAGTTTGATGTCATAGGTCTCATAATAAACCACTGAAGCTCAGCAGCTGGGATATGAGTAGTAAGGAAGCAAGAGTTGGGATGAAAGACAGTGAATGTCAAGTGAGAGAAAGCGGAGACAACTGTGGTGACTTTAGTGTGTATGTGTGACTTCCTCACCTCATCCCCTCAGTACTCTTGTTCTGGTAGTTGCAGTAGAGCTGTGGCGTCCCCAGCATGGCCTCAGTGAAGACAGCCAGGAAGCCCAGGGTCTCTACAAACACAGACGAGTCCAGCAGCAGGTAGGTGATGTAGGCCGCCAGCAGGGTGAACGCCATCACACACTGCAGGTAGTCCACGAAACGACTCCACGACCAGAAGTGGCTCCAGTCAAAGTCTGAGGCAGACAGACACACAGAGAGAAAATAAAACAATCCTAACACTGATAAACTGACGGTTCTTCCCCTTTTCGGGTTAATCTTTCTCCATAATGATACGCTGGCTCGAGAAGATTGTAATAAAAAGCATTGCATGTGACGTGAGACAATGAGACCCATTTCTTTGGAACCAATTTGGAAAATGCTGAATGATTTACTCTAATGTTTCTGCCTCACTGACTCCCCAAATGTTCCCTAAAGTTTGTCATGCTTTTGCTCTGTTCCTTTCATCAGGGAAATAAAGAACAAAAACAAGTTCAGTTTAAGTTCACTGAAAGAGGAGCCATATGAAATCATGACTTCAAGATGAAGATCATCATACAACTGCAGGCCTGCAATACAATCTATAGTGATCCAACATCTCAGCTAGGAGACTGGCACCTCCACAATACATTGTGCTGCTATTACCTGTCATATCTAACCTATAGAGTACCTAAAACAACCGTAACTTGATCAGTGTTTGGATAAGAAGGTTAGTGATGAGGATGCATCCTTGTTTGGAGTGTTGACGATTATGTTATACTAAACTGTCAAATGTTAGTCTTTATTGATTAATTCCCTTTCCGGGCGGTTATATCAATGAAGTTACCGCTGAGCTGCACGTAATGTGTTTTAATATTTCACGGAGACAACAATACACGGAGCCTGACCCACCTCTAAATGACGTTAGGGGAGAGAAGAATAAATTGAGGAAATGAAATCGTCGCTGAAAGGAGAAGGAGAAGAGGTGGAGGAGAGGGGGAAACACGCAGTATCTTCAATAGGATTTTACACAACCCTCTACGTTGTACAGGGTCATGTTGAAATGAGATTCTACTTATCTAAAAGACACATCGGAACATTAAGCTCCACTGAGGAGGCCTGTGGAACAGAGTATGGGACGAGAGCTTCAGAAGGATTATGGAGAAACAGTTTCAGGAGCTACTGGTGAACTTGACTCAAACACACTTAAACTAAATAAAAAGAGGGTAATTTGCACAAACTCATACAGCTCATCTAGAATAACATGGTTGGTTTGGTTTCCTACCATTCTCCATAATCACATTGCCTTTTGACACACCACAAGAAGAGGTACGACACATTACCTGTCCTGCTGACTTACTGAGATTGTATTCTAAAGTGTATTCTAAATTTCAATTTAATGTATTTTATTGAAGTATTGATGTTAAACGGATCTGAGATTTAGATGGCATTTCTAATACGCATGGCAGACAGGTGTATTTGTGTGTATGTGAGAGTCAGAGTATATGTGGAAGTCAGGGTGTGCATGATGGATCATCTTGTCTACGGTCTGCAACTAAATCACCCAATCATGGGGTGGGGTGGGTTGAGTCTGTCCTGCCCTCACCGATAACAGCAATGCCCTGAGGGGGGTGAGGATAGCTCAAAAAGGCGCACACACACACAAATGTCTTATTGTAACGGTAGACTAGTGTTGTTAAAGGGTGTTTACAGCAGTACCTTTGCATGCTACACCCCACTGTGCCCGTCCACCTCCGTGCCACTCATCTACCCTGGGACGCTCTCGTTCCCCCATCGCTTCCCTCATCCCATCCTCTTTCATCCCTCTGTTTAGTCTGACACAGGGCCACTGGGTGGGTGTGTGTGTGTGTGTGTGTGTGTGTGTGTGTGTGTGTGTGTGTGTGTGTGTGGTTCTGGCCCCGCCACAGGGATAATGTGAGGGAGAGAGCTGGAATCATATCTTATTGTTTTGCGTTTATTTCTCTCCCCAGAACATTAGTTAGAAGCTGTCATTTAGCCTGTCAGGTCTACACTTCCCACAATTACATGTTGTCATTCAAAGTCCATAATCATGCAGGGAAAACAACAGCAACCTAAAGAAAAATGGTCCAGAAAAAATAACCTGCTTTTTGGGGCTAAAATCAAAGCTAGAAGGAGAGTAGGAGGTGATTCATTGGAACCGGTCAGATTCACACCATACAGGAGAGACTGTGACGACTAATAACCATCGAAAGAAGAATATAGACTATTCCCAATGCCCAGTTCCCCTGTCCTCCCTGACTGTCCCTTTACCTGTACACAGGCCTAATAACCAACCCCTCTCATATATCTGGTACTGCTAAATACTGCTCAATGCTCTTATTTGCTGGGTCAACTGTCAACACAAAGACATCCTAAAAGGGAACAGACTATATAAAACAAAAAACAATAGCATGCAATTTGAATTGAGTTAGAATTTTGAAAACAGAGATTATCTAGACTAGAGCGCCCACCCCCATTTGAGCAGCTTGATACATTTTACTTCCACCTGGGTAGGTAATCTGTAGGATTATTTACACACCTAAAACGATGTGATCTCTTAATCTGAATAATCTCTTTAAAGTATTCCTTCCATTCAGCCTGCTAGCCGTCTCACATCAACCAGATTAAGATGCTATCACAACCAGCCACTTCATAATACCAGAACTACCATCTCTACCCTGAGGATCTTTAACACAACAGAGATGCAGAGATCTAGGGTACATATGCACGCACGCACACCACACACTGTACCAAATTACAGGGGCGAAGATGGAGACATAATTGCGTTTAACCCAGAACAGGTCCCAAACTAACAAATAGTGACATGACACAAGGAGGGAGGAAAGAGTTTCTTCTTTGTTTGAACTCACAGGGAGGGAGCTTAATGCACCTGCACACTGTGGTTATTTCTCCAGAGTGATTGGGACATCATGATTTCTGATTTGACAACCTGCTGTGATAACGGATCCAGGAGTCAGTGCCATAGAGAGAATGCCAGGGAGGGAAGCCAGCTCTGTACATCACAGTACGAACAGTGAACATTTAACAGTTCAGTACAAGCACAGAACACACACAACAACGTCAGGAACATACAGAAATATACTGTTTCAACACGTCCGTGTGACAGTCCGATGATAATGTGTCAGAATACTGTTGTTTCGTCTGTCTCCGTTTGACATGTTCACAAACTTCAGTGAAAGCAGGTTAAATGACATTTAATTATTCAATTGTAACCAACCTCATCAAAGCCTGAAACCCCAACAAAGATAAGGAGACGTCAGAACTATCTGTTACTCCCAAACTACATTTAGACAGTCGCCCTTTAGGGAGTTTGCTAAAGCCTAGTTAGTTGATGAATTCCTTCTTTTACATCCAATACATACATAGCACTTTCATTCCCTGTTTTATTTCTTTACCTCCACCTGTACTCTTTCATCCTTTCATCAATAGTGCATTACAACATGCCTCTCCTTCATATCTCCTCCTGGATTAATCAATAGATGAACAGACCCATATGTCTATGGAACAGACAGACGAGCAACCGACACATAAAGTACATTGTCAAAAGTATGTGGACACCTGCCCGTCGAACATCTCATTCCAAAATCTCATTAATATGGAGTTGGTCCCCCCTTTGCTGCTATAACAGCCTCCACTCTTCTGGGAAGGCTTTCCACTAGATGTTGGAACATTGCTGCGGGGATTTCCTTCCATTCAGCCACAAGAGCATTAGTGAGGTCGGGCACTGATGTTGGGCAATTAAGCCTGGCTCGCAGTCGGCGTTCCAATTCATCTCAAAGGTGTTCGATGGGGTTGTGATCAGGGCTCTGTGCAGGCCAGTCAAGTTCTTCCACACCAATCTCAACAAACAATTTTTACGTGTTATGCGCTTCAGCACTCGGCGGTCCTGTTCTGTGAGCCCCAATGTTTGTCTATGGAGATTGCATGGCTGTGTGCTCGATTTTATACACCTGTCAGCAACGAGTATGGCTGAAATAGCCAAATCCACTAATTTGAAGGGGTGTCCACATACTTTTGTATATATAGTCTATGTCTATGGAACAGACATATGAGCAGCGCTGCAATTAGGAAACATGGAGTTCTGTCAATGCTAATTAAGGTTTACAGGGAGAGGTGATCGATCGCCAGAGAGACTGCGAGAGGCCAGGAACAAGACGGCTGAGAGAGGCCGCACAGGCCAAGGAGGAAGAGGAAGGGGCAAATAGTGAGGCAGAGGGAGATTGAACCAGGGAGGAGAGGAAGAGGGTCTGGGAGACAAAGAATCAGGGAGGCAGAGCTCCAGATCCAGATATGGGCAGCCCAAAGCCAGGAAGAGGCCAATGAGAACACAGCCTGGCACTGGATCCAGCTCCAATGCCAAGAAACGTGCCAACTGAACTCTGGTTCTGCTACCAAGTGCCAACTGTTTCATGTACAGGCCAGAACCGTGAACGTACATTTGTGGCACACAAAATGCCAGCTTTTGACGAGATAAGTTGAAGCCAGAATTAAGCTTTTTCTACTGTGATAAGAAGAAAGCCAGCTTACCATACCACTGGAGTTGTGCTATAGTACAACACGCTGGATGGAAACAATTTGATAAGTTGTAAGAAGTTGGCAGCAACTCCGCCAGTCAACTCCCAGTTCCCAATGACACAAACACACAACACTCAATTCCAAACACAGAGGCTGAATAAAGGGTGGCAAAATCCTTTTGATTGCTGAAATGAATTTCTCCGACAGCCTTTCTCTACAACTATCATTGGATTCTACAATGCACAATCAAATTAAACAGACAGATTTTGATGGGGATTTTTGAATTATGTTACTTAGGTTGACGCACGGAGAGAAGATGAGTGAACACAAAGTGTGTGATGGATAGCAGTTCTGAGAAGTTGACAGTGATGACTCCGGCCAATATACAACACAGAGCATTACTGCATTGTTATTATCCAGCACCACCTACTGTCCACATGGACGATAGCAACTGCTCCCCAACTACAAAGCAGCAGCGTTAACCAGAACTAATTACAACATTGCAATTCATTGTTAGTAAATTCATACTTATGATGGGCATCACACGCTATTCACATAAAGTTCACAGCACAATGAAACAGGAACAATTGATTGAAAGGTTGTGATTCCTCAACATTCTATCAGCTGGTCATTAGCCCCTCTCAGCTGCCTGAGTGAAGGAGCCATCCAGCAACAAGAAGAGGGAGTTGAAACAAAGGGCAAAGCTAGTGGTAGAATAACCAGGACAGAGTTAGGAAGACTACAGTCTCATAAACTGTCACATCTGTGAGTTGTCTGTGCATCTTCAGCAAGCTGGTGTGAATCCAAGTCATCATCATTGTTTTACCAGGCAGGACCACAGAGCAGAGGGCAGTGGGTAGTGCACATTAGCTTTCACATGCAGCATTTAACACAATTGTTGTTGTAGTACTATCAAAATAATACTGAACATAGTTCATTTCAAACCAAAAAACATAGTCAAGGTATGACTTTCCATCCACAAAATAGCCGAGCAGTTAGTCTATCAAGGTCAATAACATAGTAAGTAAATAGCAACAATCAAAGTCTTAATACATATGGTTAATCAATATATAGGAGTCTAGAATGCATGCATTTTTATTTTCTGAGTAAGAATCTGATAGTCATCACAATCAGACAACTCGAAAATTCAATTTCCATGCACAACCACTGCAATACAGTAGATGCATGCTATAGTAAACTAATATCAGTAGCATAAAAAGATTTTTACAAACTGAAACACTTCAAGCTATTGACTATAGCCAACACGCATTGTGAACTTCCATGCGAACACTATTACAACTACATTGGTTCTTTATTAATCACAAATGGAGATATAACCAGGAAGGATCACATGCGATGCAGGAGGATCCATGCCAGGTCAATGCATGATGATGCTGATGAGTTAGTGGCAGTTAATACTGTGAATGGAGCAATAAGAGAGGGAGTGCCACACAAGTAAAACACTTTAAAAGACCATGCGGTAAGGAAAGAGTGAGAGATTAAAAGAGGAAGGCAGATGAATGACTGGATGGCAGAGAGAGAGACAGTACCTACCCAGAAATAACTTCTTAGGGACTTTGATCTCCTCGTCCTTACTGACTGTTGCTACAGACAAAAAACAAAATAAGAAGAGAAAAGAGAGCTTGGTTTCGCTTGTGCCACAGACCAGCACTGACCCACAGTTTGAAGTGAGGAGAGGTTTCTTCTTGACGTACGGTTAGTGATTTCAAATGGACAACCCAATAACGTCCCTGTGGTAATTAACATAGCTGAAACCTCAACTTTTGGATCTGACTGAGTTGAAACCTCAACGTTTGTTTTAAGTTAGACAGAGTTGAAACATCAACGTTTGGGTCGGACAGAGTTGAAACCTAAACTGTTGGCCAGAGTAGAAACCTCAGCATTTGGCCAGAGTTTAAACTTCAATGTTCGTTTTACGTCAGACAGAGTTGAAACCTCAACATTTGACTAATCATAAACAGCCTGTTATCTCAAATCATCTGACCCGCCTACCCTGATCCTGTCAATTTGATTGGTTACCAAACTTTGGATTGAGGCCCCATGATGGCAGCACTGAGCATTCAATGTTCTAGTTTTCCGTTGGCAGGGAAACACTGGTGTAGGTCAGTCAGTCAGTGTACACAGCCAACAGGCTGAGGAAGGGAGTTATGAACCAGATACAGCAGCCAGCGCACTCTAGTTCCGCAAACAGATTATCAACATCCTGTTATGACTGCAATGGGAATATTTAGGATGAATAAAGTTAAATGAATGTTTAGCATGCTATATTTTTGCTTTCTTTAATACACATGATTCTGCCAGTGTTCTGTTTGTGCAAGGTGCGGGTTGAATTAGAAATTAATAATCTATTTTACAAGAGAGACCTGGCCAAAATAGCAGCACACAAAGTTGCAGACACATTTACAACATAAAACACAAAGCACTACAGTTTAAATACATACATTCACACATTGAACATAAATATGTTTTGGGAAAGTGTGGTGCAACTAGGGGTCAAAACATTGACAGCCCCCTACTTAATTTTCCATAATAGTGTGAATATTATGGATTGTTCTCATATCTGTTGATAGTGTTTGACGCCAGACTGGAGGTGCAAGGGCCGAGGACACACTGATTATTGGTGTATTCTGTGACACTGTGTGATTCTGTAGCCGCTAACAAAGTCACTGGCTTTATGTTTTCCTACAAGCCTCTTGGGCTGGTGTTTACAGAACATGTGGTCAGTGCTGTCTGATTAGTATATTAAGGGCAGGTAGCCATTTTCTCTGCTCATATGTGGGATATTGTTCTCCTTTTTGCAAACTATTTTATTCACATGGAAATTCCTATTACAAAGACAAACTAGAGTTGTACAGTACAAGGCCACGTTCAGTAGGTAAATGTTGTCAAACGTTGCAGATAGAAATGTCATGAAGAGCCAACATAATTCCTTATTCTACATGTCAGAGAGGCATGTTTGATCTACATAACACATTTCTAGCTGAACATTCTACAACATTATGCCCTGCTGAATGCACCCCATGGCACAGGGGTGGTTTAGATGGTCATAAATTATTTGGAGCTTTGTGCAGCCCCTTGAGGCTAGCTGGGTGTGTATCTCTGTGAGTGTGTGTGCAGTCAGATTTGAGTTGCTTGTTTAAGCTGTAAAATATATTATGAACATGAAGGAGCTCCTTTGAGAGGAAGGACAATTGGGCAACCAAGGAATGTGTAACACACACACATCTCCAGAGGTTGGTGATAAAACCAAGCACTATCAATAGTTCACACCATGACGTGAACAGAGGTTATAAACTAATTACAAAGCTATAAAGAGGAGCTAGGAACCGGGAGGTAAAAGACACCTGTAAAGAGGTGAGTAGGGACAGGCCAGGAAGGAGGATTCTGACCTGTGAATGAACGTCGCTTAGTCTGGAGTTCGGTGGCCACGCGGACGTTGGTACACAGGTTGAGCATGATCAACATGGTGGCTATCATGATAATGCTCTGCCACAGGAGTGGCGTCTCAAAGTAGCGTCCAAACCTGGAAAGAGAAGACCGGGAGGGAGGGAGTAGTCAGGGCACATGCTCCTGGGCAGTAATACTATACTGAATGGAGACAATAGGCTTCTGTTGTAACCAAACCAAAACTGTGCTATCCAAACCAATTCAACCATTCCATGAGAGGCAGTATCATTTTCAAACACTGTAAATTAAATTGTCAAGGGCCAAATAATTGAAGTCTGTCTGTTCTTCAAATGTACTTAGGCTACAGCCTTCACATGCATCAATGCACATTTGAATAACATCTATGGCTAAACTTACCTGAACAGTATACGCAGAATGTTGGCGACCAGTAGGACGAGGCAGACATAGGTGGAGAATCCCTCTGCGTTCTGTGTCCGTCTGATGTCCCTGTACTGGGGGATGTAAGGAAGCACTCCACCAAACACCATGGCCCCCGCAGCGATCCATGTCACCAGTTGGTTCAGGACATACATGAGCTGCTCAAACATCTCATCTTCCATGTTCTCCCTCTGTTATCTAGTCTACCAGGGCACAGCAAAACATGGAAAGTGCCAAAGGGCTGTGCAAAGTTCTAGTGAGCTGCACTTGCCTTTCGATAATGTGGTGTAGCCTAGTCAGAGAATGTGAATAGACCAGTGCCTTCGAATGCTTATTGACAGTCAACTATTGGATCAATAACCAATGAAAGGGACAGAATGATGTGTTCCTGCCATAGAAAAAAGTCCCTTCTTTCAAACCGGATGTAAAGCAGGAACAACTATATCCATAAATTATGTTCTATTGAACAGTTTACAGTAGAATCCAGAGGTTCTACCTTAGCAGAATTCCCGAGTTGAAATTACGAGTTAATCATGCATCAATAAACATTCACGCGGCGCTACTGTTTCATACTACTGTGACTATATGAGAGGTTACAACTGTACAATGTTAAAAGTTGGATGTTAGGCTACAATTGAGCACATCAACAGTCGGCCAGAGAAATCTAACTTGCAGCAGGTCGGTCGACCAATCAAATGAATGCAATATTATTTAATAGCAGCTTAAATTGACTGGATTTCTCGCGATTTGTAAAGGAAACTAAAATAGTCGACCCTCGACATTTGCTTTACAGTTGTCCCTAGGCTAATCGAAGCGACTAAAATCCTCAGTGTTCCGGATGGGTTTGTAGTTACAACTGGACAGCAGCAGGAATCCGTGCATCACATGATTGTCATTTACAAACAAATCCCCTTTGTCCGGAAAATATAATTCCAGCAAAAATCGAAAGAGCGTGAATTTACCGGAAAGTGCAAAACCCCTGCGTCCACTGATCACGCCCCGCCCCACAAACAGAAAGCTAGAGCAGCGCTTCCTTCTACGTCAATATCGTCGCTCCCTATTTTGGCAACATCTGAGTTTGGCTGCATTGTCCTAGACTGAATCGGATTTAAAGGGGGAATCAACCACTTCTTAGTGTATTTCTGTATAGCCTATTGTACTTGTCCTATTTTCAGACATTGGACATAGGCCATCTTTATCATGATGAGCAGTTGACATTCTGAGAATAAGGGATGATTGCAGTGAGTCCGGATTAAGACATTTTGCCGAGGTTACATAATCGTGATGACTGTCATCTGTTTGTCACAAAATAACATTCTAAATGGATGGTCTCTTATATAAAGAAATGGCATAGAGTCCCAAAGGATCTGAAATACCCATTGAGCTCAGTTCAACACTGAAAGGTGCATCAAGGGTTAATTGGGTGTCATGAGAGAAACGCCTACAGCTCATCACACATCACAAAGCTGGAACATCTTGGAAAAAGTCCGAAAATTCAGCAACAGAAACGAATTGGTGTTTTAAACGAGACAAACAGTAGTAGGTATGTCGTGAAAAAGTAAATTGAGCCTACCGTTCTGTAGTCCATTCTCCTAAAACTTAGTTTCAGTTTGACTACTATTCTGTGCTGTATAACCACGCCTATTAGGACTACAAAATGCATTATTAAAGTTTCTGAATTATACATGTCCTTTGTCTAAAAACATCTGATTGATCTGATTGTTAGCCTACTTCATGATTTATGAAAAAGGTACACACTATAGATGTTATGGAGGCTACACGAACTCTTTAGTAAAGTTCTCCGAAAGTATTGTTTCACACCGGCCTGTGCGTTTCAGTTGAAACAGTTGCCAAGAACGACGCGCAGGGACAGGGACTCACAACTTCATAGACAAATCCCATTGATTTTGAAACGACGGCTGAATCAGGATGACCGAATCCAACTCAAAGGCAGCAAAAGAATTGACAGAAATTGTAAGTTTATTTTCTGTATAGCTTTTTTCTTACGCATATGGTAACATTGGTATCTGAGATATGATCGTTTGTGTTGTCTCTCCCACAGATGGAAGCAACGATGCAGAATCTCCACAGTACATTTCAAAGCATGTCTGACCAGATTGTTTCAAAAAATATCCTTTATCACACGCTACGACTAGCAACTGTTTTATTGAATGACTCGCTGCTATTGAACGGTATCTAATAGCTACCAGTTGAGATTATAGTACGTAGAAACCATACATATTCAAGCAAGACCTAATTTCAAAATTGCAGCTATTTTTTTATCAGATTTAAAAAGGCTTTATATGAAAATCCTAATCCAGTGAATTTTAGAATAAAATATAAATTAAATTTATTTTCTCTTAAAATAAATGTTTTATGTACAACCTAACTAGACACAGTGTATAATAATATAACTACATATATTGCAAGACTGCCCTTAACCAACCCACTGGATGACATGGGAACTAGAATTGATGACCTGGAGAAGAATGTTGCTGATCTCATGACCCAGGCTGGTATGGATGAGCAGCAGACTTCTAAGTGACCAAGCCCTCGGGTTAACACATATCAGATCGGCTAACTTCATCCGATTTCTGGGGTTCCACTCAAGACAGAAGATGTGCCATGACAAAAGGCCACACAGAGGCTGGTTATTACTGATCTATTGTTGTGTAACAGCCTATGGCATTTTCTATATCATTTAACAGGATATCATTTATGGGGGATTTTACCATGTAAACAACTGTCACATGGACACAAAACATTTTTTCTATAATACAACAAAATGTTGGGTAATTCCAAGTCTTTCCTCTATCTTCCTGTCATCACAGCATTACCCATAGCATTTCAGAAGAAACAAGTCACATATACATACAGATTAAACATATGGGCCAATTTTCTAGACCCAGATTAAGCCTAGTCCTAAACTAAAAACACACTTTCAATGGAGATTCCTTATTGAGAATGATTATTAAGTCGAGGACTAGCCTAAATCTGGGTCCAAGAATACAGGATGTGAAGTGATCAAATATGAGCATAACATTTATTAAATCAAAGAAGAAACCAAATGATGGTTTTTATAACTGCTGTTGAAAAAAGATGAATTGGCTGTAACATAAAAAAAGAGAGCAGGAGACCTTGATCTGAGCCTTTTTGTACTCCAGCTGTTCAGAAAGTCTCCTATTGAAAGGACAGATTTGCTCCCATTGTGCTTCACACAAAGCAATGGAAAGTGAAGAGCCAATCAATATCTGTATTTTGTGGAGTAGTCCTTAGGAGATACGACCAGACCTCGTCCTTTTCTCGCCCCTCTGTAAACGGTCTCAACAATGTCAATCATCTCCTGCTTGTCCTCCATGGTCCAGTTGATCTTGTTGTTGTTACCAGTCCCCAGATCTATCATGATGTGCTTGTTCCTGGAAGAGTACAGGAGAAGGAATATTTCAGTTTTCACGAAAAGAGGGCAGCAAAGATGGGAGTGGGCTGTCAAGTGAAGCAGCTTGGAGCTGTTGTATTAAAGACATGATCCGGAACTTTGGCGACTAGTATTTTTTAAACCTCCCGATTTGGGCTGGATGTGTCAATGTGTAGCTCATACATGCATTATATTTTTACATTTTAGTAATTTAGCTGACACTCTTATCCAGAGCGACTTACAGTAGTGAGTGGATACATTTTTGTACTTTTTCCCCATATTGCATAATCTAGGAGCAGAATTCCTGTTTTACCTCAATTAGCTACGAAATCCCTAATTTGAAAGCGACGTTTACTGGAAGCTGTGCAGTGCCATTTTCCCTACATTTTACCCCACATGGGCCAGCCCCCTAGCAATCTGAGTTCTAGCCAATGAGCTTCAGCCTCTCGTCACTTGAGTGACAGCTAGCAAGATCCACACAAAAGAGCAATGACATAGTGCACATATGTGACGTAGTAATTTCGCGGACCACATTTGGCTCGTGAGCACTACTTTCACAACTACTGGCTAAAAAGTACACAAAAGTAGTGTAGAATCTATAAGACTGAGAATCCCTTTGCTTTCCCCAGCTAGCCTACATATAATAATATAATATGCCATTTAGCAGACGCTTTTATCCAAAGCGACTTACAGTCATGCGTGCATACATTTTTTTTGTGTATGGGTGGTCCCGGGGATCGAACCCACTACCTTGGCGTTACAAGCGCCGTGCTCTACCAGCTGAGCTACAGAGGACCACATGGCATGAGGGCCTGTTTTTTGTTGTTGTCCTTTTACCCCCTTTCGTGATATCCGTGGTAGGTCTTGTCCCATCGCTGCAACTCCCCTCCGAAACATGACCCTGCCGAGCCGCACTGCTTCTTGACACTGCTCGCTTAACCCGGAAGCCAGCCGCACTAATGTGTCGGAGGAAACACCGTCCAGCTGGCGACTGACAGCAACTTGCAGGCGCCCGGCACGCCACAAGGAGTCGCTAGAGTGCGATGAGACAAGGAAATCCCGGCCGGCCAGGACGACGCTGGGCCAATTGTGTGCCGCCTCATGTGTCTCCCGGTCATGGCTGGCAGGGCCTGTGTTTTCTAAACCCATTTTTGGAATCTGGTAAATGTTTGCATCAAAACTAGAGATTGGTTTGAAATGAAGGTGCAACGTGATGACAACTTGAAACTCACCTGAAGAAGAACATGACGGTGCAAGGATCATACAACTCGTACATCTTGTTGAAGTCCGGCACCACTGTGATGTCCACCAAATAGATGACTGCAAAGTTTTTCACCTGTATCAAATCAAATCAAATTTTATTGGTCACATGCGCCGAATACAACAGGTGCAGACATTACAGTGAAATGCTTACTTACAGCCCTTAACCAACAGTGCATTTATTTTAAACAAAAAAAGTAAGAATAAAACAACAACAAAAAAAGTGTTGAGAAAAAAAGAGCAGAAGTAAAATAAAGTGACAGTAGGGAGGCTATATATACAGTAAAATAAAGTGACAGTAGGGAGGCTATATATACAGGGGGGTACCGTTGCAGAGTCAATGTGCGGGGGCACCGGCTAGTTGAGGTAGTTGAGGTAATATGTACATGTGGGTAGAGTTAAAGTGACTATGCATAAATACTTAACAGAGTAGCAGCAGCGTAAAAAGGATGGGGTGGGGGGGCAGTGCAAATAGTCCGGGTAGCCATGATTAGCTGTTCAGGAGTCTTATGGCTTGGGGGTAGAAGCTGTTGAGAAGTCTTTTGGACCTAGACTTGGCACTCCGGTACCGCTTGCCGTGCGGTAGCAGAGAGAACAGTCTATGACTAGGGTGGCTGGAGTCTTTGACAATTTTGAGGGCCTTCCTCTGACACCGCCTGGTATAGAGGTCCTGAATGGCAGGGAGCTTTGCCCCAGTGATGTACTGGGCCGTACGCACTACCCTCTGTAGTGCCTTGCGGTCAGAGGCCAAGCAGTTGCCATACCAGGCGGTGATGCAACCAGTCAGGATGCTCTCGATGGTGCAGCTGTAGAATTTTTTGAGGATCTGAGGACCCATGCCAAATCTTTTTAGTCTCCTGAGGGGGAATAGGCTTTGTCGTGCCCTCTTCACGACTGTCTTGGTGTGTTTGGACCATGATAGTTCGTTGGTGATGTGGACACCAAGGAACTTGAAGCTCTCAACCTGTTCCACTACAGCCCCGTCGATGAGAATGGGGGCGTGCTCAGTCCTCTTTTTTTTCCTGTAGTCCACAATCATCTCCTTTGTCTTGGTCACGTTGAGGGAGAGGTTGTTGTCCTGGCACCACACGGCCAGATCTCTGACCTCCTCCCTATAGGCTGTCTCATCGTTGTCGGTGATCAGGCCTACCACTGTTGTGTCGTCGGCAAACTTAATGATGGTGTTGGAGTCGTGCCTGGCCATGCAGTCATGGGTGAACAGAGAGTACAGGAGGGGACTGAGCACGCACCCCTGAGGGGCCCCCGTGTTGAGGATCAGTGTGGCAGATGTGTTGTTACCTACCCTTACCACCTGGGGGCGGCCCGTCAGGAAGTCCAGGATCCAGTTGCAGAGGGAGGTGTTTAGTCCCAGGATCCTTAGCTTAGTGATGAGCTTAGAGGGCACTATGGTGTTGAATGCTGAGCTGTAGTCAATGAATAGCATTATCACGTAGGTGTTCCTCTTGTCCAGGTGGGAAAGGGCAGTGTGGAGTGTAGGGAAGAATAGTGATGTTTGTACAGTAAATATAGCAACCTTGAATGAAATGTCTACACAAATGTGAAATACAAACAATGGTACAATAACATACATCTTACCTTTTCAGCTACGCTGTACAACACCTCGTCCATTTTCATACATGTTGGGTCCCAATCGTGTCCAAACCTAATAACCAGGACTCTGTCCTCCTCGGATAGAATTGCTTGGTCGACCTGTCAGCCGTTGTGGAGATGCGGCAGCATGTACGACATCTTGATGCTGCAGTGTCAACACATATCCTGGGAGAGTAAAGTTGGGAAGTAACGCGTTTGGCTAGCTAGCTAACGTTAAAGCGAAATACTTTATATCTGGGCTTGGGTCTTGTCCAAAAAGCTGACTAACGTAAGCTACATTTACTGTGTACAACGTTGTTCTTAACGAACGCTTGCGCATTACGTCACTAAAAAGTGACAAAACGAACACATGGCGCATAACATTTGCGTCACTACATCCGTCTACCGCTTGCTGACTAAACAAATACAAATGAGTATGCATCAGTATTTTTTACCATAGCGCTTTGGTTAGAGACCACCTAACTCGCACATAAATTCAAGAGAATTAAGTTACAGCAGTGAAATATTTATTTATTTATAATCATATTTTATTTTTATTCTGCACAATTCAGCCACAACGCATCAGCAGGCTCAAACCTTCAAGTCTAAATAAATGTTGTGTTTCAAGGATTGACCCAAATAAAACCCAACAGATATAGTACATACAAAAACTGACAATCAATTGCAAGTGACACATGAAGAAGTAGAAACAAGAACAGAAATAAACAAATCCAAAGCGAGAAATTAGCATATTAAATAAAGGTAAAAACACCAAGGGAGCAGGGGCGGTGTGTTCAATAGGGCGATATGGGCGACGCACTGCCAAACGGGAAAAGGAAGGGATTTTTTTTCTAATCAATTATATCACGGCAACAGTAGTTATCAGTGTTGTAATGTCCAATCAGGCTAAAGTCGTGCTTCAAATGGCTCCCCCCCCTTTTGGGGCGATTTCAGTCAGGTTGAAAATCGCCCAGAAGTCTGTCATAGACTCCCATGTAAAATCTATTTTTTTCAAATTTCAGAGCTTTCAATACAATCTCTATGGGTGTCTGAGGGCTTGCACTTACGCGCTTTCGTCATACGTAACGTAACCATGAACGTAACTAAGAAAAGAGCGGATTGTGTCTTTGAAAGAAGTTCCTTTTTGTCGGCGAACAAATGAAGATAAATTGGCAACGAAACAATTAGGACCTCCCAGACCAAATTTAATAATTCAACAGGTTTCTACTAAAGGCGGAAAGTCCTACACCCGAGGATTTTCCAAAAATTGGTACGAACGAAAAAATAACATTGCCACTCAACTGGATGAGGGATACAGGCTAGCTGTCCGCCGCCACAACGATGAGGTTAGTGTTGATAATCACAAGTTTACTGGAGAACTGAGACCAAGTAGAGACTTTGGACAGGGTGGATATGGTATAATAAAGGCAGTTTATTCAGAGGTAAAGATATCTGGAATCACGTGCACGGACCCGTTCGTCAAACTCTTAGGGAGCTATACATTAAGCCCCATTACTTACCATATCAGATAAGAGAAATTGCTGCAGCTACATATATTTTACATCCTGGCCCTACATAGTTCACTATTAGTAAACATTGCTGGAGACACATTGCCGTTTTGGAGAAGACATCGCGTTTGCTAGCGAAGAGATTTGTTGTGGCAAATGAACTTGGGCTGGGAATTGCCAGGAACCTCACGATAAAATATATGCATTGCGAGTCTCATGATTCTATACGTATTGCGATTCGATACTGTGATTTTATTGCGCACCATATGTCTGTTGCAGAGGGATCAGAAAGCCATGAGAACGAGTTTTGATCAGTCATGGAAATAAAAGTGCTGAAAACAAATTGGCTCCCAATGTGAAAAGATTGAGAACAAGCTATGAAGGAACAATAATGGTGTTTTGGTGCAGGTACAGCCAACTAGCGCTAAAATATTGCGATATTGTCAATACAGTATATCGTAAAGTATCACTATGTAACTCGATTTCTTTCACCCCAATCCCTCAAATTAACGGTAAATAACTGAATTGTTTGCCCCACATTTAGCTAAGATGATTAGCTAGCCAGCTAAAATGTTTTATTTAGTTAGCAGTCGCATCTACAATAGTTTACTGTCAATAACATGTCTCCAAAAATGACGTGGTGTCTCCAATTGTGTTGACATTTTACAATTGCGATGCGCATCCATGAGTATCCACTTTCTGTAGCTCATCTGGTAGAGCACGGCGCTTGTAACGCCAAGGTAGTGGGTTCGATCCCCGGGACCACCCATACACAAAAATGTATGCACGCATGACTGTAAGTCGCTTTGGATAAAAGCGTCTGCTAAATGGCATATTATTATTATTATTATTATTATCTGAAGAGAGCCCCGAAACATTGTGTGCAGACATTTTATGCAATAAATGAAGTAGGTTGAATCTAGTAGTTCTGATCTTCTGATTGGTCCTGATGAGTTGGGCGAGGTCCCCTCCAGGCTACTGTCACTGTTGCATTGGCTCTGAGTCGGGTTCTCTGTCTTCAAATGTTCAGCCTAAGAGAGGGGATTTTTGTGTGTGTGTGTGTGTGTGTGTGTGTGTTTAACAGTGATGATGTGTGTGTGTGTGTGTGTGTGTGTGTGTGTGTGTGTGTGTGTTTAACAGTGATGATGTGTGTGTGTGTGTGTTTGTGTGTGTGTGTGTGTGTGTCCTCAGAGCAAGAACTCGTGAGTTGGAAGAACTGAGAGGCCTATGGCGTGGGTGTTGTCCTTGGCCACCTGCTGACAAGGCTGACAAGATAGGACCCTTTTGTCCATTGTTATTGGATAGGAACAGAACTTATAACCAGCTCCTGACCTAAATAGATCTTAGCACAACATTTTACTCAACATATCATATTCCATATTCACTATAACAAATATATTTACTACGACATTAGCAAGAACCGCCACATCCTCAGCCGGCTAATCCAGTGTGTGAAGTTTTGCGGAGTGTTTGAGTTAGCTTTGCGAGGCAAAGATGAAACTGAGGGCTCCACCAACCCTGGTAAGCCAACACTTTTGAGATCAGTCAATAAATGCTTCTGGTATTGACTTATATGCTGCCCCTGTCTTCATGTTGTTGCTGGACATATCTTTTTTAAAATGTGTGTAGGTCACCTAAATCATCAGAAAAATTGCCCCCCCTGAGAATTTTTTCAGGAGCCGCCACTGCAAGGGAGGTTGTTTCCCCAAATAATAACTTACAACAAAACGAGTCGACAAAAACAAAGAAGCAAACAAATAAAGAAACAAAACGCAACATAACAAGGGCAAGGAAAGCAAAGGTGAATGTGATGGAGGTTTTTGGCACAAATCAGTATCTGAGAGAACTCATAATGGTCCATTACATAGTTTAAATAGAAGGAAGAATAGCTGTTGATACTCATTCTGTAAAGAAGTTAGCTGGCCAATCAGTAATGGTCAGCTACAGTAATGATTACAGTCAGTCTCATCTGGTCAATGGACCCATATAACCACATAATAAGTTACTATTGGGAACAATGGCCCGTAACTATCGCACAGAATGACAACTTTAACATAAAATAGGTATTCTGATGATACTCATGGTGACATAGAAACAATATAAAAAATATTGTTCATTATGTTCTGAACGTGAGAGTTTTTGGTGTAGTTGTTTGAAAGTCAGTTATCAATGATCCCAGTTTGAGAAAAAAAATGTTTCCTCCAAAATACCAAATACAGGTGTGCTTTATAGCTTTAACAGCTAAGACAGCATTTCAAAACAAGCAGCAAGTAAAATATTATTCAAACTGAATCATGGTCAATGGGCTAAAACATTGCTCTTAAAATAAGCCCCTAGAAGGAAATAGTGGATTTAACCATGCTGTGGTTGCATGATGTATGATGGGCGGCAGGTAGCTTAGTGGTTAAGAGCGTTGTGCCATTAACCGAAAGGTCGCTGGTTCTAATCCCCGAGCCGACTAGGTGAAAAATCTGTCGATGTGCCCTTGAGCAAGGCACTTAACCCTAATTACTCATGTAAATCGCTCTGGATAAGAGCGTCTGCTAAATGACTAAAATATAAATATAAATATATGTAACACAGCTCTCGTAACAAACCCCTGAAAATGGAGTGTCACACAGAATCAATACACTTTGTAGAACCACTTTGCTTTAGATTTTTTACAATTGTATACATTTACATTTTCGTCATTTAGCAGACGCTCTGGCGACTTACAAATTGGATACAGAGGTTTGTTCTAACATGTAGCCTGTGAGAATGTAAACATTTGATTTAAAGTTAAACGAAAACGTTAACATCTAAAATTAAGTTGGCAATTACTAACATCAATATAAAAGTATACATTTCATGGCACTGCAATCTGTTGCAGTCAGCTACTGACAGGCAGGTAATGGTATCTATAAACACACTCAACGGCCAGTTTATTAGGTACACCCATTTAGTACCGGGTCGGAACCCCTTTGTCTCCAGAACAGCCTGAATTCGTTGGGCATGGATTCTACAAGTCGGAAACGTTCCACAGGGATGTTTGTCGAATCTGACGTGATGGCATCACTTAGCTGCTGCAGATTGGACGGCGGTAAACCACCGCCACCAGCCTGTACCGTTAACAACAGACAGGATGGGTCCATAGACTTATGCTGCTTAAAACAAATCCTGACTCTGCCATCAGCATGACGCAACAGGAACCAGGATTCGTCAGACCAGGCGATGTTTTTCCATTCCTCAATTGTCCAGTGTTTGTGATCGCGTGCCCACTGGAGCCGCTTCTACTTGTTTTTAGCTGATAGGAGTGGAACCTGGTGTGGTCGTCCGCTGCAATAGCACATCCGTGACAAGGATCAACAAGTTGTGCGTTCCAAGATGCCGTTCTGCGCCGTTATTTGTCTGTTTGTGGCCAGCCTGTTATCTTGCACGATTCTTGGAATTCTCCTTCGACCTCTCTCATCAACAAGGTTTTTGTGCCCACAGGACTGTTTTTTGTTTATCACAACATTATCTGGGAACCCTATACACTGTCGTGTGTGAAAAGCCCAGGAGGGCGGCCATTTCTGAGATTCGGCGTGCCTGGCACTGATGATCATACCAAGCTCAAAGTTGCTTAGGTTCTTTGTTTTGCCCAGTCTAACGTTCAGTTGAACAGGAACAGAATGCCTTGATGCATGTCTGCCTGCTTTATATAGCAAGCCACGGCCACGTGACTCACTGGCTGTAGGAGCTATCCATTTTCGTGAACAGGGTGTACACTGTACATGTACTATGAAATGACAACTCAGATAGCCATCTATTCAGGTTCTAAAGGTTCCATTTCTGGAACATCCATCTTTTCTGGTTCTGAAAATTCCTCTTCTGGAACAGACATTTCCAGTTCTGCTGGATCCCTCTCTGGAGAATCAGTCTGTAGCCATCTTCTCTGGTTCTGCAGCTTCCATCTCTGGGATGAGGTTGTGCTTAAGTTTCTTCAGCTCGGTCATGTTGAAGCACATGAAGATGGTAGGGCTGTTCCTCTGGATCACCTTTATGCACTTGGTGGCTCTAAGTTGGTGTGCTTCATCCCAAACAGAGCAGACATCTCAGCCCAGGTCAGCCACACTCTCTTGGAGAGCTCATCAGACTCCTTCTTGATGGAGAACGGATTGGTGTGGAAGTATCTGGTGAAGAAGTCTTTACGCTCCTCAGAGGGGCGTTCCTCCATCCCACTGGGGTCCAGCACCAGCTGAATAGAGGGGTCTATCTGAACCTCAGACTGAGCAGCAGCTTGGGCCTGGGCTACGGCTGCCTGCTCTCGTTTCTCCTTCTCTCGTTGCTTACGGAAGGCTGCCCGGGCCTCCCTCTCTTTCTTGTTGGCTTCCCTGAAGGCCAGCCTCATTTTGCTCTGCAGCTCAGCAGGGGACTCAGGGGGCTGGGGGACAAAGGCCAGTGCTGCCATAGGGACGGGAGGGAGCTGGATGGAGTACAGACCTGGCACCAGGATAATCTGGTTAAGGGTCATGACATGCTGCTTGCATCCGTTGATGGGGGTGGGCAGGAGTCTGTCTGCGTCTTCAGGGGTCTTGGGTGCACGGCGGCAGCGCTGTAGATGGATGACTATAGCTCTCTGCGTAGTCTTGCCTGTGTAGACGCTGTTGCATTAAATGCATTTGAATGCTGCGGTCTTGAGGATGGCGTGGACGGTGGGCGCGATGCAGTGTTTCCCATTCAGATGGGCCTGGTAGTTCTCCACTATGACACACTTCTCTTCACAGAAGGGGCAGTCGGTCCGTGTTGTTTTACTGGGGTTCCGACACACTTCCTGTTTACCACCAGGCTGCATCTTGAGGAAGATCAAGTCTAGGGAATTGGTGACCAGAGCCAGTTTCAGCATCTCCCAGGATCTCTTTGGGGGCCCTGGTGTTGATGTCAACGTATGGGAACAAAAGGTTACCACTGTCGTCTGTATACAGTCTATACTCCCGTCTCTTGAAGTCAGAGTTGGCCTTCTGTGTGGGGTTGTGTTGTGTTTGTGTGTTCAACCAGTTGTTGGATGGAGTAGAACATCCCAGGACAGTAGAGGCAGTTGAGCCCGAGCAGCAGGTGTTCAAAGAGGCCCTTCTCAGACAGCAGGATCTTAGACATCAAAGATAGGGATGCAAACTTTGGTCAATTTAGCTGCCGACTAACCGACCCCCATTATCCGGTTAATAATTGGTTAAATTCATTAAACAGTAAAATCAGGGTTCATACACATTTTGATAGATGGAATTCCATGACTTTTCCATGACCAACAATTGATCCCATGTACCATCTCCTGTCGTTGAGCAAGGCACTTACCCCCCCCCCTTCTTATTGCATCTGAGCTCCTAGACTGTGCTGCTCTCCTTTTTCAAATATTTATCTTAGCTACCTTAAAAAGTGTTTACTTTGCAGCCTGACTAACATACACTACCAGTCAAAAGTTTGGACACACCTACTCATTCAAGGGTTTTTCTTTATTTGTGCTATTTTTTACATTGTAGAATAATATTGAAGACATCAAAACTATGAAAGAACACATATGGAATCATGTAGTAACCAAAAAAAAGTGTTAAACAAATCAAAATATGTAATATTTGAAATTCTTCAAATAGCCACCTTTTTCCTTGATTATATATTTGCACACTCTTGCTATCAAATCGCTAAACAGTTAACTAGAGGGTACACTATGTTTTGAATTGGCTACCTAGTTAGTCTGTTCTCTATCATATTTTATAGGCTAGGCCTACCCTGCTGCTGCAATATCCGACTGTCTCCCACTCCTTGAGCAACGGCCCACTCGTCTCACACACATGCAGGGGATGCCCGCAAACACAGATGCGCTTAAGTGTCATTCTGATCCTGGTTGATATGTTGATTTTTATTTTATTTATCAAATATAAAAAAACTATGTGCCTGAATAAATTGCATTAACAGAAATTATCATTGGAAAGGAAAAGGCACAATGCTCGCTCACCATTAAAAATTCTTAGTTTTATTAAGCAAGTTTAAAAGATTGACGTTTCGGCCTTCATCAGAATAACCATAATGGGAATGGACAAGTTCATACAGGGCACGGGGAAGACAATTAGGGAGACAACTCTCTTCAGATGGAGGTGCTGAGAGAACGTGTGGTAGACCATACATGTTGGCACTCAGGGTGTGGGGTACTATGGTCAATGTCTCCACCTAGTGATGAAATACAGAAGTGGAACCAGTAAAAAACAATTGGAAAACTGGGCAAGCTTTTTTCAACTACAGTAGGTATAATTGATATACAACCATTACTATATAATATATGTTGAATATGTTGGGTATTGGAAAAATAAACAACAGGGCTAAGGAAAACTAGGGATAACAACAACAAACATCAAAAGCTTAGGCAAAGAGGTCTAACAACTGGTTTGGACAACAGTTCCCTCCATGTGTAAACAAGTAGTACAAATGGGATGGGGGGGGGGGGGGGACCAACAAAGGGATGGGGCCCTTCACAAAAGCACACTATAGTTATTCTCTAGGTTAAGACCTCTGGGGACTAAAGTATCTAAGGAATGGATCCAGAACGTCTCTCTGGACCTATGGTGTTTGTCAACATCACCACCACATTTCTTTTTGCTGACTTGTTCAATTCTAAAATATATATTGTTTCTGTCTGTGCTCTTTCTGAATAGATCAGATGAGAGGAAGGTACCTGTTTTGGTGACACGTACATCCAGGAAGTCTAGTCCTCCCTCGTCATGTTCCATAGTGAAGCGCAGGTGTCCTGTAATGGAATTATTCTGCAGAAGGCCGAAACGTCAATCTTTTAAACGGTCTTAATAAAACAAATAATTTTGAATGGTGAGCGAGAGGTGCGCCTTTTCCTTTCCAATGACTTCTACACATTTTTAGGTTGTACCTCGAATCACTATGGTTGAGCACCCTCCATGACTTTTTCTAAACTTTTCCAGGCCTGGAAAACACCATTTTAAAATGGCATGACTTTTCCAGGATATTCATGACCGTATGAACCCTGTAAAATGATGTGACCAACAGAAAATACTATTAATGTGTATAAAGAACAACAATTTTTCCTTTAGAGCTTAATTGAGGTGTGCAACCATTAGAGCTGGCACAATTACCGTATAACCGACGGTTATTAATGAAAACGTCATTAAAATAAAATAATTGTCCTAACCGTAAAAAAAAACATTTTTGGTTGTGGAACGAACAGCTGACTAAAGACGGGACAGCAGGGCATTCGTGTGGCAATTTGACTGGTAATTTGTCCAGTGATTTTTTGTCAACATTTAAAAAGTTAGCATGGAAAATAGATGCAACAATTGCCTACTGCTGTGTTTCCATTGAACTATCTTGTGTCGATAAAAACCGCTGGACGGACGCAATGAAGTCACACCTAAAAATAAAAACGTTTTAGCAAAAACCTAGGTGTCAAATAAAAATTGAATTGATTGAAGTGTTTCCTTCACCCTTTTAGGCAAATTCTGCATTAATAAATTAGCCTGTATGCCCTCCCACCTACAGTATCTGTTTCATGTCTCAGATATCCAGTGAAAGCCAGAATGCAAAAATTTACTAATAAGCCTATTTGCCATAATTCTCATGTGCCAATAAATCGCCATGGTCTGTCCCATGGTGAAATCAGCACCCCTGTAGATCTGAAATAATTGGATGGTGAAAATTGGATCCAGTCAACCAGAAAAGCAAGGTGAAGCAATTCAGGCATTCTTGAACTGCAAAGAAACATTTTTATAGTGAAAAAAAATAAATTGATTTTACAAGCAGTAGGCATTTAGAATGGAAATAGCGGAACCCCGGCCTACGGGAGGTAAATCATTGGATCTGATTAATTTGATTAAATGCAATTCAATCTTTAAGGACTGCAACCATAGAAATATAAATGTATTCATGCCTAATAAGTTATTTTTTACTTCCCGTCTGGATATTTAGCTCACAGTCACCCTGTTTACATATAGGCCATGACATCAAGTGCCCCACGTACCTTCGACATTATCCAGCAACAATCATTTATTTGAAAAACACCGTTTCCATCATTTTGTCACAATAAGGAAAGTGCACAGAATAATCCACGTTGAACGGATACTTTTTTTGCCGATCTTCCGAAAATGTATCCTATATCTGCTGTTCCCATTACACGTAACAATAACTTTTTTGCAACATTGCTTTTGTCTTGTCTAATAAACCTGGGTAAATGGAAACCTGCTTATAGACTTGAATGGGGAGGGCAGTTCTAATCATTATATTTATATGGCAGCACATGCAGTCAGGAGCGGCTGAGAGGAGAAAATGTACATTTATATATTGTTTTGCTATTCAAACGGCTATTAAGGTGACCATGGTCATTTGGCTGGCCAATTACCATCATCCAAAATTCCATGACTGTCACAGCCCTAGCGACAATAGGAAGCCTATCGTCTCACAGCCAAGAGGCTATATTATTGAACATACAACTTCTGTAATAACGCAGCAAAATCATTTTCAAACATTTGCCAAAACGCAATTCGTGGGAAAACACAGTTCTAAAAGCGAACCTGATGGTTTATGTCACTGAAAGAGGGGAAATATAACTAGGATAGGTGTTGCTAATATGACTAGGATTGTGGTTTTAGCATGTGGACAATTAAATAAAGTTCATATGAAAACCAAAATAACAGGAGAGAAATGCTGGTTTCAATGGCAAATGAGTAAACCTTTATAAAATAATTCCATCAATGTTTCTATGGTCGGATTTTGGCTAGGCTACTTGGAAGCAAGGTAAGACATCCCTCATAATAGAAGGTAAAATATCCAGTTTTCCAAAAATTAAGTATATGCTTTAAACATGCAAACTGCCTGCAGCTCAGATGAGTGGTGGGTGATTCCTGATAGTCTACCGTAGCCTTGAAAAAAACAACACCTTCAATGGAAATTTTTCACTGATAATTATTTTTAATCAAGGACTAGCCTTATTCTGGGTCTGGGAAACTGGTCTATGAAGTGATAACTAAATTGCAATATCAAATTTGAAAATGACATGCATTAAATCAAAGAAGAAACTAAATTATGGTTTTTATAACTGCTGTTGAAAAAATATTACTTGGCTGTAACATGATTAAAAAAAGAGCAGAAGACCTCAATCTGAGCCTTTTTGTAGTCCAGCTGTCTAGAAAGTCTCATATTGAAAAGACACAGATTTGCTCCCATTGGGCTTCACACAAAGCAATGGAAAGGGAAGAACCAATCAGTATCTGTATTTTGTGGAGTAGTCCTTAGGAGATACGACCAGACCTCGTCCTTTTCTCGCCCCTCGGTAAACGGTCTCAACAATGTCAATCATCTCCTGCTTGTCCTCCATGGTCCAGTTGATCTTGTTGTTGTTACCAGTCCCCAGATCTATCATGATGTGCTTGTTCCTGGAACAGTGCAGAGGAGAAGGAATATGTTTCACAGAGTCATGCAGGACTAAAAAAAGAGGGGAGCGCTCAGTCAACTGAAGTAGCGTGGGGCAATTGTTTTAAGACGGAGCATCCCGTAGCCCTAATTTAGACAACTTTATTAATCATTTAATTTATTAATAAGTCGGGTCTAAGGGCATTCCATAGCAACAGCTTGTGAGATTTCGCCCGACCCGTTGCTGTACCTGTTTTAGCAGCATGTGTCCCGTGTTGGATGGTATCCGTAATTGGTAGATGGTTTTGATGGAAACATCATCGTTTGTATTGCCAAGCGGTGCCCAAGAAAGTTTTAAATCCAATTGTTTGATGCTACCACCACCCACTCGAATCTAGCTGCAATACACATTTATATTATTTTGTTGACCAGTGCGTGTCAGCACTGTGTCCATTTTATGGCGGCAGGTAGCTTAGTGGTTAAGAGCGTTGTGCCAGTAACCGAAAGGTCGCTGGTTCTAATCCCCTAGCCGACTAGGTGAAAAATCTGTTGATGTGCCCTTGAGCAAGGCACTTAACCCTAATTGCTCCTGTAAGTCACTCTGGATAAGAGCGTCTGCTAAATGACCTATTTATTTTTATTTATTTTGTGTGGCTACTGCGTGTGAACCACAGACAGGAAGTGGCATGACTGCGAACAGTCTGTTTACTTGTCTAGAGGCGAGAGCATGCCATGCGAGTGCACAGTCACAGATGGAACTATGAGCCAGATATTTCACCAGATGTATAAAAGGTGAAGCATCCGGTTGTCATTTCCACTCACTACCAAATATGGTAATAAGATGAAGCACTGTGGCCGGCAGTAGAAGATGGAATGAGATGGATTTTGGACAACCTTGATTCTGCAAAGTCTCTCATTGATGAAACATTTGATCTCAATACAGTTTTCGGTTCCCAAAACTAGAATCTGTTACGAACAGAGTGGACTAAGTTTGGTAGACTTTACCCTTTGCCAATTTTTTTTTTTTAATGGTGTTGCTTAGAAGGAGTGCAAGGGCGAATTGAGTTATTGCACACGCGCACTTCACAGAGTAGGCGTTCCCTAACGGAAATATGCAAACACATGCTAGAAAGCGCCAATATGATCTCTCTAGCTGGTGCTTGTTCTGCCCACTACGACTCATGTGTTCCCATTGGAAATTACAGGCTGTGGTCCATCTTGGGATAGTTATACAAATCTTTGGCACAGTTGTGGAATCCACTTGAAAATAGATTGGATTTAATACTTTCTTAGGTATTGCTTGGCGATGTAACCAATGAGCTTTCCATCAGAAAGTCTACTGATTACAAATACCGTCCAACACAGGACACGTGCTGCTAAAACAGGTACAGTCATTGGCCGAGTCCTAAACTCACATGCTTCTCCTATGATATGCCATAAGCGGAACGTTACTGTACTGTTAAACTGTACTTAGTGTTACAACTGTATACATGATGGCAAGCTTCGTAGGGCTAAGCATCACTGTTTTCACAGCTAGCCTATATGGCATGAGAGCCTGTGTTTGCTACACCCATTTTTGTTGAACATTTGCATCAATTTAGCAAGTCATTGGTTTGCATGGCTCTGAAGTGAAGGCCGGACATGACGACAACTTGAAACTCACCTGAAGAAGAACATGACGGTGCAAGGATCATACAACTCGTACATTTTGTTGAAGTCCGGCACCTCTGTGATGTCCACCAAATAGATGACTGCAAAGTTCTTCACCTGTAGGGTGGGATAGTGATGTTTGTACTGTAAAAATAGCAAAGTTCAATGAAATGTCTTCACAAATAGGGCTGTGGCGGTCATGAAATTTCGTCAGCCGGTGATTGTCAAGCAAATAACTGTCGGTCTCACGGTAATTGACCGTTAATTAACATAAACACATTTAGCATCTCCTGGTTTCCACACATAGCCTACAATCCAATTGTGTTTCCCGAGTGGCGCAGTGGGAACTTTGCCACTAGAGATCCTGGTTCGAATCCAGGCTGTCGTAGCCGGCCGCGACCGGGAGACCCATGGGGCGGCCCACAATTGGCCCAGCGTCGTCCAGGGTAGGGGAGGGAATGGCCGGCAGGGATGTAGCTCAGTTGGTAGAGCATGGCGTTTGCAACGCCAGGGTTGTGGGATCGATTCCCACAGGGGGCCAGTATGAAAAATACACTAATGCAGATCTTTGGAACATCTACATTTTAAAAAGTCTAATAAATCCATGTAATTTAGCCAACACCTTCACAATAAATCCATTATTTATTTTGGACAGGTCTAAAGAAATATGATGTATATTTCAGAAGAACAGCATAGCATACTATGAGTTGTCCTTATGTTAGGTCCTGATCTGGCTATGCCAAATGGCTGTGGGCTAAAAAAATCCATGCCTTTTGTGGCCAGTGGCCGTTGTGCCCTTCTCCCTGAGTTCCGCATGCTCCGAAGTTGTTTCTTGCCTTACGCTGGGCATTATTCACACATGATAATATGTAATTCACAAGTGATAGGCTAATATTGTCACCCATCAGACTATTCTTGTCTTTACATATACTAAATAATGTGTGAAATTTGTTTTGATTTAGAATGGACCATTATCATGCCCCTGTCTTGAAACTGGGGCAGGGGAAAAATACATGTCATCTATGCAGTATGAAAATGTATGCACTCACTAACTGTAAGTCACTCTGGATAAGAGGGTCTGCTAAATGACTAAAAATGTAAAAAATGGAGAACACTTTTCCCCTGGTTCATTTTCATGCCAGCCAGGTAGGCTATACTCCTGTTGTAAAGATAAGCAATGTGCTTAATATTAGGAACGTTGAGAAATAAATATAGTAGGCCTAGCCTATAGAAAGCTGATGAGATCATCACTCTGTTTCTCCCGCAATTGCATAGCCTATAGAAATGTTGCCCATGAGCTCATGGGCTCTCATGAAGTGTTAGATTAGATTTTCGATAACATTTGCATTGAGGTCAGAGTGATTAGAGGGACAATAGAGTACGGAGTACCAGGCAGTTAGCAAATTTGGTAGGCTACTTATGACCATCAGCGCTTGGAGATGCCTAATTACCGTGACGAACCGGTCACGTGGAATTTGACTGCCTTCATGACCGCCGGTGTGGCGATAATAAGGTCACCGCAACAACCCTATTCACAAATGTCAACAATAGTACAATAACATACATCTTACCTTTTCAGCTATGCTGTACAACACCTCGTCCATTTTCATACATGTTGGGTCCCAATCGTGTCCAAACCTAATAACCAGGGCTCTGTCCTCCTCGGATAGGATGGCTTGGTCGACCTGCCAGCCGTTGTGGAGATGCGGTAGCATGTACGACATCTTGGATGCTTTAGCGTCAACACGTATCTTGGGAAAATAACGTTAATGTTGGAAGTAACGTTTGTTTACGACTTGTTACAACTTTGTTTTTCTGAGCTAAATGTTGTTACTATCTCGTACAGCAGAAAACCAGTTTATTTATATAGAAATTAGAAAGTATTGCCACTGTTGGAAGCCCAGCTAACGTTGCTAGCTAGCTAGCATGGCCCGTTTGGAAATTTCCAGAAAGTCAAAGTTGAAAGACCTCAACTAATATCAAAAAACTGAAAATATAAAAACATTTAAGGTTTCAAAACACACTTACCGTATGAAATTCTCAACTCCAAAGCCTTACTTGAAACAAACTGGTAGCCTGGGTCTGTTGCTGAAAAGACGAAGGACAGGAAAACGTCGTGTTTACGCTCGCGCAATGTCACTTAAAAAGCGACAATTTAAAAAGACGGCGCATACCAATCGCATCAACCTGTCTGCCACTGGCTCAATGCACTGGCTACACAAACATAATTATGTATAAAAATACGCGCAATTACTTTATTTTACAATAGCCCACTTTGGTTAGACAAGCTTTCTCAGACAGACACCCATTAATGAGCAATAAATTACAGCAGTGAAACGTTTATTGGAAAAAGTTTTTATTGTGCACAGTTCTGCCACAATGCATCAGAAGGCTCAAACCTTCAAGTCTATACACATTTTAGCTTCTGAAGGACTGAACCAATCTAAAACCCAACAGGTATATAGTACATAAAAACCTGACAATCAATTGCAAGTGACACAGGAAGAAGTAGAAACAAGGAAGAAAATGAAAAACCCATAGGGGAATTAGCATATGAAAAATAATGGTAAAAACACCAGCAGAAGCTGTCCGTTTTCACCAAATAATAACTTACAACAAAATGAGTGGACACAAACAAACACACATAAAAAGCAACACAACAAGGGCAAGGAAAGCAAAGGTGAAAGTGATGGAGGCTACCTCAAAAATCAGTATTTGAGCGAACTCAGAATGATCCATTACATAGTTCCAATAGAGGGAAGAATAGCGCTCGATACACATTCTGAAAAGAAGAAAGCTGGACAATGTCTTACAGTTATGATTATACTCAGTCTCATCTGGTCAATGGATTCATATAACCACATAACAGTTTTGAGTTACTATTGAGAACAAAGGCCAATAACTATTATACAGAAAATAAGTATTCTGATGATACAGAAACACAAAATTGACAAATACTGTTCATTAACGTTCTGAACATGAGATAATGGTGTAGTTGTTTGAAAGTCAGTCAATGATCCCTGTTTGAATACTTACACAATACCAAATACAGGTGTGTTTTTATAGCTTTAACATTTGACAGCATTTAAAAATATTATTCAAACTGAATCATGGTCGATGGGTTGAAAACACATCTTAAAAGATGCCCCCTAGGATTTAACGGTGCTGTGGTTGTATGAAACAAACCCCTGAAAACAGTGTCACTCAAATACTAATACAATCCTCACATAGCTTCAGATTTTTTACCCTTGTATACAGAGGTTTGTTTTAACATGTAGCCTGTGAGAATGTCAACATGTGATTTACAGTTCTACGAAAAGGAGAATAATAATAATAATAAATCAACATCTAAAATTAAGTTGACAATTCCTAGCAGGGAGATTAACATCAATATAAAAGTATACATTTCAGGGCACTGCAGTCTGTTGCAGTCATCCAGGTAAAAGTATCTATACAGACTGTACATGTACTCTGAAGTGACAACTCAGACAGCCATTGGCTCTGGTTCTAAAGGATCAATCTCTGGAACATCCATCTGATGTGGTTCTAAAGAATCCTCTTTTGGAACAGACATTTCTGGTTCTGCCGTTTCTCCTTCTGGAGAATCCGTCTGTTCTGGTTCTTCGGGTTCCACTTCCTGGTCAGCCATCTTCTCTGGTTCTGCAGGTTCCACCTCTGGGATGAGGAGGTCGTGCTTAAGTTTCTTCAGCTCTGTCATGTTGAAGCCCATGAAGATGGTAGGGCTGTTCTTCTGGATCGCCTTCATGCACTTGGTGCGCTTCATCCCAAACAGTGTGGACACCTCAGTCCGGGTCAGCCACAGTCTCTTGGAGAGCTCCTCAGACTCCTTCTTGGTGGGGTACGGCTTGGTGTGGAAGTATCTGGTGAGGAAGTCTTTACGCTCCTCAGAGGGGCGTTTCTCCATCCCACTGGGGTCCAGCGCCAGCTGAATATAGGGGTCTATCTTGGGTACCTGCTCTCGTTTTTCCTTCTCTCGTTGCTTACGGAAGGCTGCCCGCGCATCCCTCTCTTTCTTGTTGGCCTCCATGGCCTCCCTGAAGGCCGCCTCCAGTCTCAGCTTGCTCTGTAGCTCAGCGGGGGACTCAGAGGGCTGGGGGACAGGGACGGAGGCCATCGCTGCCATGGGGACAGGAGGGAGCTGGGCAGAGTACAGACCTGGCACCTGGATCATCTGCTTAAAGGCCATGACCTGCTGCTGGCGTCCGTTGGTGGGGGCAGGCTGGAGTCGGTCTGTGTCTTTAGGGGTCTTGGGTGCACGGCGGCAGCGCTGTAGATGGATGACTATAGCTCTCTGCGTAGTCTTGCCTGTGTAGACGCCGTTGCAGTAGATGCATTTGAATGCTGCAGTCTTGAGGATGGCGTGGACGGTGGGCGCGATGTAGTGTTTCCCATTCAGATGGGCCTGGTAGTTCTCCACTGTGACACACTTCTCTTCACAGAAGGGGCAGTCGGTCCGCGTAGTTTTACTGGGGTTCCGACACACGTCCTGTTTACCACCAGGCTGCATCTTGAGGAAGATCAGGTCTAGGGAGTTGGTGACCAGAGCCAGTTTCAGCTCTGCGTCTCCCAGGATCTCTTTGGGGGCCATGGTGTTGATGTCAAAGTAGGGGAACAGAAGTTTACCGCTGTCGTCTGTGTACAGTCTATACTCCCGCCTCATGAAGTCACAGTTGGCCTTCTGTGTGGGGTTGTGTTGTGCGTTTGTGTGTTCAACCAGTTGTTGAATGGAGTAGAACATCCCAGGACAGTAGAGGCAGTTGAGCCCGTGCAGCAGGTGTTCAAAGAGGCCCTTCTCAGACAGGAGGATCTTACACTTCAAACACTTTACTGTCTTGTCAGGCATCTTCCTGAGGAAGGGAGCACGGGCAGCCAGGCCCTGCTGCTTAGCTGCTCTGGGCTGGGCCTTGTGGGCAGCCTGTTGGTGAGCCTCATAGACGTTGGAAGGGAGCAGTTCATTACAGATGGGACAGGTGATCCACTTCTTGGCTTTGGAGTTCAGAGCAGGATTACCTGCTGGTTTGATGGGCTGAGGAGCCTTGCTGATAAGCTGGATGTTACTGGTCTGGCTGGGCATGCCCACCGACGTGGCGAAGGTGTAGGTGGGCATGCCGTTGACCTTGTTGCCCGTGGGGAAGAGGTGGCTGAGGAGGGACTGGGAGGTCAGCATGGTGCCCTGAGTGTTGCTCTGGAGCATGGTACCCTGGGGGGTCCCCTGGTTCAGGGGGAGGCGCTGAGTCACCATGAGGGCCTGGGACATCCCTGGAATGCTGATCTGCACCCTCGGGGGCAGGAAGACCTGCTGGGGCTGCTGCTGACCTTGGACCCCTATGTTGAAAGGCACCTGGTTATGAGCAGCACCAGGTAGGGAGGTGCCAGAGGGCAGTCTGACCATGGTCTGGCCGATGGGCATGGTGGCTGAGATGGCCCCCTGGGGCAGAGCACTCTGCAGCTTGACAGTAGCACCAGGCTGGACGAGGCCCTTTGCCTCAGCACCGGCCAGCTGAACCAGGGCCTGAGGGGGGAGGAAGCTCTGGTTGGGCCCTGCCAGCTGCTCAGGACTGGACACCTGTGGCAGCTGTTTTTTAGGGGCCAGTGTTTGATAATTTGTAGGCTTGGCGTACTGAGTGTTCTCCAAGATCCAGGTCCTGATCTGAGCGCAGGCCCACTGGTGAGTGGGAGAGGACAGGATGTGGTGCAGCATGTGCTCCGTGCTTTCGATGGCCATCTTACACACCTTACAGAACTGCCTGGAGGCTGAATGGGGGAACTTAGTGTCTGGTATCCGGCCTGAGAAGTGGTGCCACAGCTTCTCCAGGTGGTTCAGCAGGACATGCTTCTTCATTGAGAACAGGTTTGAGTCCACATATCGGCACTTGCGACACTTAAACCGGTCCCCTTTCTTGGTAGTTGAATGCAGAGACGCTGATTCTTGGTCCACATTCGGAGAGCCATGGAAGAGGAGGAGGTGCTTCTTGATGAGTCGGGGGTGGGCGACGAAGGGGCAGATCTGGCAGGGAGCCAGGGCACACAGTTTCCTCTCATACTCATGGCTCCGCTGTAGATGACTCTTGTAGGAGTACCAGTTCCGGGTGGAGTACTTACAGAGGGTGCAGCACAACAGCCGCGTGCGGTACGGCCACTGGGGAAGGAAACGCACAGATAGCAAGCGTGATTAGCAAAATAAGAACATTTTAAATTGATCCGTCACTTCACTGTAAGGAATGAATGTTACATTTTTTTGTACGAAGAGTGTGTCCCTACATAGTGCACCACTTTTGACCAGAAAGGCTGGGAATTTTGGGAATAGGGTGCCATTTCAGATGCAGATTAAGTAAGAACTGAATTAACTGATGCATATTCAATATCAGTGGCTATGCATTTCCACAGACCCCAGAAATATTGGCACATTTAATCAATCAGTTGAACTATAAACTATTCTGTTTCAATTTCAAACACTTGTTTGGTTTGTTGACATCCCTATCAGACTAGCTCATCTTTCCAGGTGCCATTTTACCTTTTTCTTCCTCTTGCCTTGGAAGGGCTCACTGAGGTCCACCCACTCAGTCTCCTGGAATGCCTCATCAGAATCAGAATCTTCATTAGAGTTCTTCTTCTCCTTCTGCAGCTCCTGGAAGATGGTGACAGACAACATACAGTTAAGGACAACAGCTACAGTGAGGGAAAAAAGTATTTGATCCCCTGCTGATTTTGTACGTTTGCCCACTGACAAAGAAATGATCAGTCTATAATTTTAATGGTAGGTTTATTTGAACAGTGAGAGACAGAATAACCAAAAAATCCAGAAAAACGCATGTCAAAAATTGATTTGCATTTTAATGAGGGAAATAAGTATTTGACCCCCTCTCAATCAGAAAGATTTCCGGCTCCCAGGTGTCTTTTACACAGGTAATGAGCTGAGATTAGGAACACACTCTTAAAATGGAGTGCTCCTAATCTCAGTTTGTTACCTGTATAAAAAGAAACCTGTCCACAGAAGCAATCAATCAGATTCCAAACTCTCCACCATGGCCAAGACCAAAGAGCTCTCCAAGGATGTCAGGGACAAGATTGTAGACCTACACAAGGCTGGAATGGGCTACAAGACCATCGCCAAGCAGTGTTTGGAGGAGGAGGAATGCTGCCTATGACCCCAAGAACACCATCCCCACCGTCAAACATGGAGGTGGAAACATTATGCTTTGGGGGTGTTTTTCTGCTAAGGGGACAGGACAACGTCACCGCATGAAAGGGACGATGGACGGCGCCATGTACCGTCAAATCTTGGGTGAGAACCTCCTTCCTTCAGCCAGGGCATTGAAAATGGGTCGTGGATGGGTATTCCAGCATGACAATGACCCAAAACACACGGCCAAGGCAACAAAGGAGTGGCTCAAGAAGAAGCACATTAAGGTCCTGGAGTGGCCTAGCCAGTCTCCAGACCTTAATCCCATAGAAAATCTGTGGAGGGAGCTGAAGGTTCGAGTTGCCAAACGTCAGCCTCAAAACCTTAATGACTTGGAGAAGATCTGCAAAGAGGAGTGGGACAAAATCCCTCCTGAGATGTGTGCAAACCTGGTGGCCAACTACAAGAAACGTCTGACCTCTGTGATTGCTAACAAGGGTTTTGCCACCAAGTACTAAGTCATGTTTGCAGAGGGGTCAAATACTTATTTCCCTCATTAAAATGCAAATCAATGTATAACATTTTTGACATGCGTTTTTCTGGATTTTTTGTTGTTGTTATTCTGTCTCTCGCTGTTCAAATAAACCTACCATTAAAATTATAGACTGACACTTTGTCTGTGGGCAAACGTACTAAATCAGCAGGGGATCAAATACTTTTTCCCCCTCACTAAGTATCATGGGAAGAAAACACTGATCAATGATCTCCGATCATTCACTGTTGTGTGTCCCAAATGGCACCTTATTCCCTTTATAGTGCACTACTTTTGATCATCGGGAATAGGGTGCCATTTGGTACAGACCGTCTTTAAAAGTTATGGGAAAAGTACAATTTTCTGACGAAGATCAGTTTCGGCTCGAAACTTTGTCAATAAAGTGGTGAATTGGGAGCTTTAACAGTGTGAGGGCCTTCTTGTTCTTTACTAGTATTCTTTATTAGCCCAGCACCTATGTTTTAAGGATGTGCGTATGACCAAACTTTTCTGTAAAAAGTACAATCCATGCCTATAAACAATGTGTAATATGGCAATAATTAGGCCCTCATCTAGCCAACTAACAATCCTTGCTACACTGATCTGATACCGATGAAACTGATAGTTTTAAACATAAAAATCGCACAACATGAACATACTTCCAGAAGGTTTTTGCAATCCTCCAGTCCATAATCACTCAAAATATGTTTCACTTTTCTCCTTGTTTTTCGGATGTTCTCCAAGTTTCCAACAGGGACCTGATACATTGTTCCTCAGCTTCCTAAAAGAGAGAGGCATCATGTTAGGCCAGGTAATATACACTTCCCAACTAGGGATTTGACTGTTGAGTAATTGCATGATTCTTTTCTAGTACTCAAAAAAAGGAGGCCTATGTGCTCATTTATCTATAGGTCTATGCCAAGAGTGCACGATGATGCCTAATATGTCATATCCATTACATATAACAAATCCCAATAGCAAAATTGCCCTTATATATGTATACACACACACAAAAAAAAGAAGAGCAAATTAAGTCATACTATCAAAATCTTGACACACAGGTCCATGCATGTCGACTAAAACATTCCATTGTTTCTGCAACTAGCTCCCCCTAACAAGCAAAGTTTGAAATGTGTTCTACCCTCGTGGCTTTGAGTCTCTAGTGACTCTTGTCAAGGAGTGAAATTTAAAACTTAAAATATACAAAAGAGTTCCCATGATATATATACACACACCACATTTTTTTGACACCCCTTTAAATTAGTGGATTCAGCCATTTCAGCCACACCCATTGCTGACAGGTGTATACAATCGAGCACACAGCCATGCAAACTCTATAGACAAACATTGGTGGTAGAATGGCCTTACTGAAGAGCTCAGTGACTTAACGTGGCACCGTCATAGGATACCACCTTTCCAACAAGTCAGTGGTAGGCCAAACAGGCTCACAGAACGGGACCACCGAGTGCTAAAGCACGTAGCGCGTAAAAATCATCTTTCCTCGGTTGTAACACTCACTACAGAGTTCAAAACTGCCTCCGGAAGTAAAGTAATCACAATAACTGTTCGTCGTGGCCGAGCAGCCGCACAAAAGCTTAAGATCACCATGCGCAATGCCAAACGTCGGCTGGAGTGGTGTAAAGCTCGCCTTCATTGGACTCTGGAGCAGTGGAAACGCGTTCTCTGGAGTGATTAATCACGCTTCACCATCTGGCTCTGTCGAATCTGGGTTTGGCGGATGCCAGGAGAACGCTACCTGCCCCAATGCATATTGCCAACTGTAAAGTTTGGTGGAGGAGGAATAATGGTCTGGGGCTGTTTTTCATGGTTCGGACTAGGCCCCTTAGTTCCAGTGAAGGGAAACCTTAATGCTACAGCATACAATTACATTCTAGATGATTCCGTGCTTCCAACTTTGTGGCAACAGTTTGGTGTCCACATACTTTTGGTCATGTAGTTTATATTCAGTCAAAAAAAGCAAGTGCCATTTAAGATACATTTATTGAAAGCATAATAAACTGGTTATATTATATGGTGGAACACAATCTTTAAGAGGGGCAGTAACCATACGCAGCAGCACTTGCTTGTAGAAGCCTATGGCTGTGCAATGGCATAGCTTTGTTAATTTAGCCGACATGACGCTCTTATTTCCCGAGCTCTTATCACAGTCAAGACACCTATTTTATAGTTTAAAAAAACATGTAATAAGAATAAAATAGAACAGAATATTTTTCCAAATGAAAAAGTTGCCACTGCGAAGTGAAGCGCATCTCACATCTTGAACTGTTATTCTCAAAGAGTGATCATTTAAAACTTGGTTCAATTTGGCTACCAGACACTAATTCTCATTATTAACAATGGGCTAAAATATAGGGTAATTAGTGTGCTTGTCAGCAAGAACACTGTTATTCCCCACACTTATTTTATTATTCCACTTCTTCACAATTTTACCAGTGTAATCACGTATTTGAAATCTGATATGCCTACTTGTGTCTTTGAAAATGAATTACGAGGCTATGTATTTTTGCAGCCATTCATGGACAATTCATGGGGCGGTGCACAATTGGCCCAGCGTCGTCCAGGGTAGGGGAGGGAATGGCCCGCAGGGATGTAGCTCAGTTGGTAGAGCATGGCGTTTGCAACGCCAGGGTTGTGGGTTCGATTCCCACGGGGGGCCAGTATGAAAAATAATTAAAAATATGTATGCACTCACTAACTGTAAGTCACTCTGGATAAGAGCGTCTGCTAAATGACTAAAATGGAAATGTAAAATGTTTTGAATAAGTCATACAAATAAGCATTGGATATTAAATGCTGCAGGCCACAAATATAATTTATATTTTAGTATTGTGCACATGCTAGGCAGAGATGGTAGGGGGATGCCCAACTGAATCGCATTACATCTATGTAGAGTAAGATGGCAAGAATCTTCAACTAATAGACATAAACCACCTGAATATTTGATATTCATTTGATATTTCTTGAGAGTTGGGTGATTGAGAAATTAAATTCTTATAACAAGAACATTCTCAAACACCCAGCACTTGGGAAACATAGATCAGGGGTGGCGAACCCTCCTGGGGAGCAAGCAGGATTTTCTTCCAGCCTTATTTTAAAGAGTTACAAAACGTTTGTGTCTTTACCTTGAAAGCAGTCCATGGACAAGGAGACCACAATCTATGATTTGGTTACCCACAGCCATCAACCATTAATGTTAGTATTTCCTGGTAACACTACCCCACGTGTCACATACTTTCCACCTGAGAACAGGGATCAATCCCAGTTTCCAACCTTCACACTGTTTCTCCCCATGTTATTTCATAACTGTCTGAATAAAATGTCAATCCACCTAAAGAAAAAAAAAAAGTGCATACTTTACATTTCACCCCTCCCCAAAAAATATACTGTTCAAAGTATCCTAAATACACCGGACCTGTGGTTTTATTTTCCACCCTGGTCATAGGCCTAAGCCATGTCAAAATACGTATAATTGCAGGAAATTAGCTTTAAAACAGTTAAATGTCCTTCGTGTCTAAGGGTTGTGCCAGGGGGCAAAGAAATTCACATAGCAAATCTAACTCTACGCTTTTTTCTAAAGTTGGCAGCCCTGAGTGTACTCGTTCAAATTGCAGGCACTCGTGTCCTGTATTGTTCTTTTTCCGTCACTAGCTAGCTAACGTTAGCTAGCTAAGTAGATCCCCGACTCCGGAGTTGAACATTTGCGTGCCTTCCTTGGATGTGGCAGCCGTTTTACAGCCTTCCTCTCCAGAAACAAATCCTGATTCCCCCTTCCCCGTGGTCACCATGCCCCATGGTAGGCATAGAAATTACCATCGAAGTTGGAAGGGCAGACTTTCGAATGGGACGCCTATGCCACGAAGGGTCACCAAAAGCGGCCGGTGGACCCGAGAGAAAAAATATAGCTAAAACCATCTAATTGTATGCATTGGCGGGAATAAAAATATAAGCTAAAATGCTAGCTAGCTAGCAGTGTTGAACTCAAATGATACATCATTGGTTGAACTGCATACAAACATGCCTGGTTGGCTGATTTGTGAAAGTGGATCTGCGCAAATGTCGACAATGGCTACAATAGGCGTATATTTGTGATGAACTGTTGAGGATGCTCACTGACCGGGCTACATAAAATTACCTTTGCTTCTCCGGTTATAAAAGGATGGCTGTCGCGTCTCTCTTTTTTTTTTTATCGTGTATGGATTGTTTCACCAATCCGCCAGCGCTTCAGTCTCGGTGTCACGGAAGTGTGCAATCAATCCACCTGGACGATGCTCTGCCACTCACCTCCCCAGACAAGATGCAGCCGCCAAAGTTAATTCAGGAAATAATGATTTACATTAAAGTGAAATAATTGATGTATTGTGCTGTTTCACCCTCCTCCTGAAGTAAAAAATGGCGCTTGCATTCAGGACATGACGTTTGGGTCCTAATTAGCATATATGGAGGATGACCAATGAGATTGAAGTTAGCTGTGGACTAAATTGGGGAACTTTCCAAACATAGTTGAAGTTTCGAAGTGATTTCCTTCCATTTTACTCTTAATTGATGAGTTAATTGGGCTAATAAACATGATATAAGAGCACAAAATAGGTGTGGGTGTGGCTACGGACAGAATAAAGGCTCTGGAAAAAGCTAGCTAGTCACATGGTACAATTCAAAACAACCAATAGGCTGTCAGGAAATTGAGGCAAAGGGGAGGGCCAAAGAGATTTTATGGTGACCTCATATCATGCCACTGTTCATCAGCCAATGGTTGACGACCCTTCCAGTCCATTATTTGAAGAAAAAAACATAAGAATGTAAGTACTAGCTACCTTTTATTACAATAAAGTAATGTGTGTTAGAAATGGCTAAAATAAAATTGCAATGGTATTTGAAAGGAATGAATCAAGAATAACAATATTTCTTATCATTATATTTGATATGTTATGTAAAAACAGATCTACTAATTATGGCCGAAGGTGTAGCCACAGCAAAATTTGGCTCGCTAGCTAAAGCTATTCAATCATCTCCATTCTGTAAAACTATCTTCAGGAATGAGACTTGAACACAGATTTACACATTGTTAATTGGGTCATCATATATGGTTGTTAATGTCTTCATTAGTGCCCTAACGCCATGGTCGACTAGTGGCTGGCGAGTGACTATCTCTTGAAAACCCGTTGCTAATACATTTCTTAAAGCTGAACTTTCCTCAACTTTCACTCCTATAGTCAGGTTTGCTTTGTCAACAGTTGCATCGTGACAGTGGTCATGTCCAAATACCCATACTACATACTTAAGCTGCATACTCATTTCAGCATTTGATCTATTTACAATTCACTCGTCTTTAACGAATAACATTTGACAACAGCTGATAAATTGACGCACTGACCAAAATATGAATGGCGGGTTTCAACGCAATCGCGCATTAGATGACGCATTCGGTGTACTATTTTCACATACTATAAAACTTTATTTTTCCACATACCGTTTAGTACGCTAGTATGAGTCTCTTCAAATCACCACTTTCAGTTGAAAATAAATAACTTTTGGCGAATTGTCGCCAACCATGATCGCCCCCTGGAGGCCAACAGTAATATTGCAGACCTAGACCAAAACTGTTACAGGCTTCTGTCATCCCCTCAAATAAAAACGGTCAGCATTCTTTACGCATTATTGTATTCCTCATAATGGAAATATATTTTCAAGAACAACACTCAGAACAATGGCCTTGAGCGTGAAATTGATCGATATGCGTCATATGTGAACAAGGTGCCAGACGAGGTAGCGAGAATGCGGTGTATATTGTTTCAGAAGAGACAAAGTACTGTAGCAGAATGCATTCATCGTTTTTGCACATATTCCTGAGATTATTTGGTGTTTGGGTTGTATTTGCTATCAGGGTCAATAGGTCATCTGGGTTTATGTCTTGGTCTCAAGCTAGAGGGCCTGCCGTCATCATTTGCTTGCCTGCATCTGAAATGACACCCTATTCCCTATATAGGACACTAGCCCTAGTCAAAAGTAGTGCACTATATTGGGGTATATAGGGTGTCATTTCGTAAGCAGACATTTCATTGTGTTGCAGGACAACAGACGCACAGCCGGTCAACTTATAGGAGTTTACATGATAAATGACAAACCTTACTATACAAGTGTATAAGGGTCAAGGGATCTTCATAACACAAAAAGGAAACTGAAAACAGTGAGGATGAAGCTGGCTAGCCTTCATTTGAGCATGTGCCTCACGTGATCAACATCAAACCATTGAGGAAGCAGCCATTTATGATGCAGTCTGTACCTGGCTGGAGGAGATTTCCCTATGGGAAAATCTCAATTGCATACGCCTCACGTCCGCTCTCGTCTTCCCATTCTCAAAATCCATTGGAGGTCAGAAGGACCTCTGGCGTTCTCATCCAATGGGTTTTGAGAAGGAGACAAGAGGAGTATGCAATTTAGCTATTCCCTAGTTCAGGCTGCATCTGAAATGGCACTTTTTATAGGGAATAGGGTGCCATTTCAGACATGCAATTTATTGTTCACAGCCATGGCAGCATTATGCCAAAAGCATCACTAAGAGGATCATCCATTCCCTTTTTAATAGAAACATCAACATTATGGTCCTAATAACAAGGATGAAATGTTAGCCAATATTGGGAACTAATAGGGATAGTTTGAATAACAGAATAAGGCAAATTGTACCAAATGTATTTGGGAATGAATTTATTATGTTGTGTTCCTGTGCATCATTCACCACCACTGTAACAGTCTGCAGTTAACTGTCCAGAACACAGTCTTTTAAAATGGGTTAACATTACTTTATTGAAGACAAAAGAATCTGACAAGCATTCTCTAACAAAACACATACATGTAAAGTTGAAATGTAATATAAAAAGCTAACTCTCTCTGTGGAATGTACGTGATCCTTCCATTTCCTCCTACGCTCCGAAGTTATGTAGTGCCAATCTGAACATGTCATTTGTGCAGATCCATTTGTTGTCCACGTTCTTCAGCAGGAAAGTTTGTTGAAACCCCATCACCTGGTCCGCGTCAGCCTTTTTAATGAAAAGATGAAGATCATCCTCTACAAATAGTTTACTCCACTACATTGCATACAGTAGAAATTAACCATAATAGGAACCATCGATTTTATTTCTTTAAAGTTTAATACAGTTAAAGGGATACTTGGGGAAGTTGGCAATGAAACTGTTTATTTACTTCCCCAGAGTCAGATTAACTTGTGGATACCATTTTTATGTCTCTACTAGCATGCTAGCAGATACCATAGACTTCGTCATTATGCTAACGCAGACATAAAAATGGTATCCACGAGTTCATCTGACTCTAGGGAAGTAAATAAACAGCTTCATTGCCAAAATCCCAAAGTATCCCTTTAAGCTCAACAAGCGTCTTCAGGTGCTATTAAAATTAAAAAACAGGAGCAGCTCCTTCCATGTTCAGCAGTGAAATAAAGACACTGATGAATGCTCCCGCAATTTAATGCGCACCGTTTCAGCCCTAGTGTGCGGATAGCAATACCCAGTGTAACCGGTGTCACTGTGCTAGCTTAGCAGCTTAATTTCCTCCCTCCACTTGCCTCTGACTTGGCTTGAACTACGATCCTCTGCCTCGCAAAAACAGTTAACACACGTGACCACCAACTTGAAAACATATACACCACAAAAGGATGCAAATCACTGACACCATCCCAAGCTGTGGGTGAGTTTTTGGTATGAACTCTGTTACGCCAGCAAGTCACTGGACGTGCATCCACTACTTTTGAAACGACCTACCTTGAGCTGTCCCATCACCATGCTCATCACACAGCTGTCTGGCGTGGGCTGGTGGTCCTGTGCGGTGATGCTGTGCTGGATCGACTGGAACGGTAAGCTCTGCAGTAAGAGTGACAATAAGAGGTCTATATGTCTGTACCATGTGAAAAAATTAGGTTATGCATTATAATTAGTTTGATGAAGTGAAGCTTAAACGAAGAAGTCACTTACAGTGATTTTCTCCATAATGGCTTTGTGCCCCTGGAAACCAACTCCTTCCCATGTTAAACATGACGCATCAGTCTGGAGACACACATCAGTCATTTATTGAGACAGTGAGCTCTCACTGAAATCATATCAGTTAGACACTGAACAACATGAGCAGGGGTGTATCCATTAGTTGGATTCCTTGCAAAACGTTTTTAGCATTTACTCTAGGAACGGGGAGGAACCTACCCAAATTTGTCCAATAGAAACTCTTGTTTTCGTTGCAAAACATTTTCCGTTTGGCGTAAACTGTTTCCATTGCAAAACGTTTACCAACACAAACGTTTCGCAACGGAATCCGACTAATGAATACACCCCAGGGGTCCATCTCAAAAGTATTTCCTTGATTCCTTGTCCTCTTCATCCATGCCACTTTCTCAAAGCACTTTGGAGGATAGCCCTTGATCATGACTCTTAGTTCCATTACACATTAGTCATTGGACGAAGGCGTCTTCTATACGGGGGAGTTTTGTTAAGAGCCCCGACGCTTAATCTGAACATTAACACGCATCGCTTGTGGTATGGTTTTGGAAGCACAAGGACCGTATAATTTTCTAAAAACGAAAGGTTAAATTGACACCTTGATAGGGTTATCTCCATGTTACGGCGCTTGTTTACAGATAACAGATGGATAACGAGAGGCGACCACCTGTGTTATCTAGCTTACCACAAACACATTTAAGTCATTTAGCAGACGCTCTTATCCAGAGCGACTTACAGTTAGTGCATACATTTTTTCATACTGGTCCCCTGTGGGAAACGAACCCACAACCCTGGCGTTGCAAGCGCCATGCTCTACCAACTGAGCTACACAGGACTTACACACCTGTGTGTAAGCGTAACTCGAGAAGTGTAGCGGAACTGTAGTTTGGTCGAATGGATGCACCCATAGCTGTATGGATCAGTGCAAAACTGCTACAGTAAGTATGTTTTTTTGTATTTGAAGAATTCTCTCGATGAAAGGGCCCATGTTCATATGTTTCAAAAGCCTTATCACAAGTGATGACTATTGACATTTCTAAACGTTAAACACAGCGTCGGGATTGTAGTTCACATGAGCCAGTCGTGGGCGAAGCTAATGGCTGAAAACTGTAGGGAGAAGGCAGAATGCCTTCTAGAGTTTAAGAGCTATTTGGAGGAGAGTCCGAGGGGAGGAGGCTAGGAATCGAGAGACTTGAGATTCACCCCAGGTTTCCAGATGACAAGGTTGGTCCATGAAACACCATTAAACATCTCTAAATGTGTTGAAATGAAAATACTCACATAGAGGTCAGCAAGTTTGGTTCTATCAGAATCAAACTGTTGGTAATAATGTTGCACAAAGCCTGCACCTATCTGCTCCCACACCGGTTTGCTTGCCATGGTTCAAAGTGTAGGTTGGAATCTGGAGGAAAAAGCGCCTTGAAAATGAAGTAGCCAGCAGCACATCCCTGATATACCTGGTGATGAGCACACCCCACGTGTTTCAGAATCACTCTGAATTATTGGAATTACAATCAATGGAAGTTATGCACTTATCAAGAGAACATGAGCACGAGAATGGCTTCCTAGATCTCGAAAAGAGGCGGCGGGTAGCCCGGCTGTAAAGAGCATTGGACCAGTAACCGAAAGGCACTTAACCCTAATGGCTCATGTAAGTATCTCTGGATAAGAGCCTCTGCTAAATGACTAAAATGGAAACGCTAGTTAGCTAGCAAGTTAATGTAGTTAGCTCGCTAAACTAGTTTAAAGTCAGTACATCATTCCACTCTGAAAATGACAGCTAAACTTTTACTTTGCGTTGCAATTAATAATTTCCCCTATAAACTACACGTTTTTATTCCTTAATGGTTGTTTAAAACGTAATATGAAACTTACCTTAACATGCAACTAGCTAGCAATCAAGTGTGGATACACGCCTTTCCCGCTTCATCCGGAATACAGGTTGTGTTGTCATATACAAGGGCTAAACGACCAATAGAGGCGCGTCTCGGTTTGATTGACGGGTACCTAAGAGCGTGAATGGCCCCCAAAAGGGCGTTCCATCTAAATGATGACAGGAAATTGTTTTACTTCAGTGCAACCAGCCTTGGTAGTTCTATTATTTTCAGCCCATTGATAATGAAATGTATATTAAATTAGTTGTGTTCAATATTATGTCAGTAAATGTGGACAATTGTGAGTTAATGGATATGACACAATGTATGCTTTTGCATAACATTGAGAATTTGATAAAAGTTATTTTACGAGATTTTTGGAGCCTAGAGAAAGTGAAAGTGACAAAATAGTTTGGTTTTCAGCAAGTGCTTTATGTTGCAGCTAGCTGTGTATACCTCTGATAAATTTTGATATCTGTAGTTGTGTGACACTCAATAACATCTTTCCAGATGAGGGTTTACTGAAAGTCAATCAATAAGAAAGAAACCACTTTATTTATAATTATTTGGTATGATGATCATTAGTGACAAAAGTTTCAAATAATATACAACTATGACAAAATAGTATGTTAAACAAATAGATGTTGCTTGGTGCAGTGTGTGGAGAATTACAAATAGCCAATTCCACACCAGCATTAGACCATACAAACAAGAAACAATAGCATTCTAAAAACAGATGTCTACAGACAGAATGTCACTCAAAGTAAAAGTACCATATCATGTTAAGGTTTAGTCAAGCTTGAACACCATATATTTCAAATCATACTGTTGGTGAGATTACAAGTGTGATGATTAATATCAACAAAGATCAGAAAAGGGGAAACACTTGGAGGAACTTGAAAAACAGAGTCTTAAAAAAGAAGTCTTTAGATCAATAACACCATTTTCCTATTGCAGGTGTCCACATCCAATTAGAGTCTGATTTCTTTAGTGTCTTCACAGCCACTTGTGAAAGAGAAAGAGAGCCAACACTATATTGCTAGTTAAAATTGGTGAACCTCAGATCTTCCAGTCCAGAGCACATTAGTATTATAGTAAGGTCCAGAGCCATATCCATCACAATCAATGGCTCGGGTCCAGTCCAGACAGCCATGCAGACTGAAGTCACCTGGCCTAAAGGAGGACTTAGGCTGACCATTGCATGTGTGATGTGTGGGAGTCATACACTAAATAAGGAATAGGGTGTCATTTCAGACAAACTTTCAGTGTCCTGGGTGTGGGGTGAAATAATCATCTGTTTTGAACACTGGGGGAAGCTCCTGATGCTGCTGCTGATGCCTTCTGGGGCTGGCTGGTTTCTGCAGAGACAAAAAATATGGTTCATAATTTATATCCACTGAGAGCAATGTATAGGCCAGGAGACCTACCATTTAATAAAAAATAAAACATTACAAAAGCAATTCAAAAAGTTAAAACATAAACTAAATCATGAATAGCAGATGATCATATGGAGATATGAACCAGTATCTGTGTGTTAGAGACCTCTCTAATGCCCAGAAAGCTCTGGTTCAAACTCCAATTCACCAGCTCTGCAAGCATTATGTCAAAACACGTTTGTTGATCACCAAATATGGAGTTTAGCTGAGCAATTATCTTCATGTACTCCCGTTAGGGCCGGTATTTACATCCAAAAAGGGTCTACAAAAAAGGACAAGCAATCGGAAAAAATCCTCATTACTGCGTGGCATTACTGCGTGGCAGTAATGAGTGATTGGAGGTGCCGAATATGGAATTTTTTCAGTTGCTTGTACATTTTTATTTAGACCTTTAGATGGGAGTAAATTAAGATACAGTAGTTGCTCAGCGAAGCGCCATATTTGGTGATCAACAAATGTATTTTGACATAATAAAGCTGGTAAATGGGATTTTGAATCTGAGTTTTCTGGGTGTTAGAGAGGTTCAGGGGCACAGGAGGTTGATGGCACCTTAATTTGGGAGGACAGGTTCGTGGTAATGGCTGGAGCGGAATAGGTGGAATGGTATCAAATACATGGTTTCCATGTGTTTGATGCCATTCCATTCACTCAGTTTCAGCCATTATTATGAGCCACCCTCCCTCAGCAGCCTCCTGTGTTCAGAGGAGATAGTGATTAAGTATAGGAATACAGCATTCACACTTCAAATGGAAAATGCCTTAATTGTTGACTCAAATGCGGATTGATTGGTTGGTTGGTTGATTAAATCCTCACATTGAGAAAGCCCGGGACATTCATGGTGCGGAACATCTTTCTGAAGGCGCCCGGCAGGGTTCCTTGTTCCCTCTCTGCTTGAGTGACCTGCTCCTCCATGACATTCACGTTGGCACCTACAATCTTCACAAATGCCTGGAAACAACACCAGGGAACAGGGTCAGATACAGTACTACCATATCAGTGTCCCAAATATAGTAAACAGGGTGCCAGTTGGTAAACAGATCATGTCATGTCAATGAAAACATACTGGTCATTATCAATTACATTAATTAAATCACACTTACATCCAACTTGTCAATCTTTCTGTATATTTGTCTCATCTCTTCTGATTTTCTATGTATTTGAGGTAGGTTCTCGTTGACAATCTGTGATGTGTCGTTGCGGATCTATAACCAGAGGAAGAAAAGTTATTCATTTCTCACCCACGTTCAGAGACGAGGACATGAACAGCACATACAGGAGTGGGCAAAAATTACAAAATACAATTACAAAATACCATAAAGATCAATGTATCAAAAAAACTACAAAATACTTGTAATTTGAAATGTATTTAATTAAAATACATGTATTTTGCATCTTAAAATACAGAAATAAATTTGCAAGTAGCTGGTCCAAACAGCAACACCATTCCCAGTAACGGTTTCAGAAACGCTTTACTTGCTATAACTGTGATATGTTGTTATTTATCTCCCTTAGTTGAATGCACTGACTGTAAGTCACTCTGGATAAGAGTGTCTGCTAAATTACCAAAATGTATATATGAAAATGAACATACCAAAATGAACTTCAAAGCACACTGGATATTATTATTGGCCTTGTGTCAGGTGGAGCTCATTAGAATAATACTCAGCATGCTTTTCAATTGTCAATTTTTACATATACCATTATATTTCGTTCATTTAGCAGATGCACTTATCACACCATAGTGCCATCAGACATCTGATACCAATGCAGGGTGAGAGGGGGCCACAAAATTGTGAACCGCTATAAAAATAAATGGTATACCTAGAAAACTATTCTTGTATCTTAAATACAAATTACAGCTCTCGAAAGTATCTTTTTTTTAAAATACATTGGCGTGTAGTTCAGCCCAGTGTAATACAAATTACAAAATGCACAGAAGTAATTGAAATGCATATTTCAAATACATTTAACATAAATACTGCCTCTCTTAACACGTACCATGTCAAGCATTCCTACAAATTCATCCACCCTAGTCAGCATTTCCTCCAGACTTTTCTCCAAACACAGGATCTGTGGGGTATGGAAAGGACATGGATATAACCACAGTCAAGTGACATTTAACTTGGTCCACGCGTATCCAGTTATAGCTAGCACGTTGCACCTCTCAGCATAGACAGGATGCTGTATTTGACCTCTATCGGAAAGGTTGATAAATTCTAACCTCATCTCCAGCAGTAGCTCTGATGTAGGAGGAGTAACTGAAAGCAGTGAGTCTCAGGATCTCATCCTCCTGGTTGTGGTCTGGGTCCGTGTTGGGCCCCTCGGCGTTGAAGCTCGGACTCTGCGAGACTGCTGCGCCGAAGCTGGGGCTTTGTGACACGGTGCCACTACTTAGGACCTCGCTCAACATGGATAAACTACTCGCACTCTGCGACACGATGCCACTATCCCGACTCACCTCGGCACTGGACTCCTCCAGTGGGGAGAGAAAACCTACCCTATTTTCCATCCTAGGCTCCATCTCTGCCCAGTTTCTTGATGTTGCTTTCTGCTACCGTGTTATGATTGTCAGATGATTAAATCACGTGGTTGAAACTGTGGATGGCGGCTTACAAGGGTCAAGTAGAACTAAGCGAAAAGACGCAATTTTTAAATCGGCCGTTTCTCCATCTCAAGTTGAACGCGGGACTCAATCTCCATTATAAACACACAGGAAACGTTCCTTTTCTATATCAGTCAACTGCAACAACGTTCTACAATAGAAAATGGGAATGAAACAGGACAGCAAGTGTATTTAAAACCTTTATTTCAAATTCTCTCCCAAAAATTACAAAACAGTAAGAAAATAATATGAACACAACATTCACAATACAATTCAAATTAATTGCATAAAGATTTTGAATTTCAATTGTGGAAATTAGTTGAAGTGATACTTACAGTTTACTATGTTGAAAGAGCAACTAGGCCTACTAAATAATGATTGAGCAATTACAGATCAAGCCCCAATATCCATTCAACTTGTTTACATTTGAGTGCTCAGTACATATCTGGACTAAAATGAATTAAAAGGCACAAAGTGTTTTACAAACCTTTTCTCTAATGTATGTGTGGAGAATGTATAGAAACGTCTGTACATCATCATCATATAGAATATAAACAGTCCAGTTTACATGATATACAGAAATATTCCCAATCATAATCATCCTCGTACCATAATACCTAATGGAATTGCTTGTTCATAGGTCATTGTTTTTCCTTGTAAAAATCTATTATAAAATCCTTATGTACATTAAAAAGATAGTAAAACAATAGACATTATTCCAGAAAAATTTAGACGTTTCTGTAATAAATATAAAACCTGTAATATTTCTTAGGTGTGAATATGTTGCCCACACTGAGTCGATGGTACTACCAGGTGGGGGCAGTGACCAACACATTATAGCACTACTCAACAGGGTTGAACTGACTGTCCATAGTGAAGATATGCAGGGAATAACCTCTATGGTCAGAAGAACACAGTGACCTAGGTAACCGGAGCAGCCTATGGGGAGAGGAAAAGGAAAGAGCAACAAAAATGACATATTTGTGAACCAAAATGGGGTGTTAATCCTATATTAATCCAGGGAGTACTAACATGGAGATTTAAAGAGTTGAAACAACAAGATTGTTCAACAACAACAGAAAATGTGCTAACCTTGAACTACAATGTGAATAATGGTGAGAAGAATCCCATACAAAAATCAAACAACAGATGGATGGCTTAGTGTCCCACAGAATCCATATACTTCATAAAAGTTTACCATATCATGGATGGATAGATTGTGCTTGTAAACCAAAGTACCACTTGATCCGAACATGGATCTCAATGTGTGTGCCCAATAGTGTAGGAAAGTGAATGAGTGAGGTTAAGCAGACGCAAATTCCGGTGTTATCACCTTCACACCCTAGCAGTCCTGCCTGGTGTAACAGGGTTCACATCCCCCTCCCTGCTGTAACAGTCACATCCCCCTGCCTGCTGTAACTAACAGGGTTCACATCCCCCTGCCTGCTGTAACTAACATGGTTCACATCCCCCTGCCTGCTGTAACTAACAGGGTTCACAGCTGAGCTGAGGCGTCTTGAGTAAACAGTAAAGATAAGAGTTCATTAGCAGTGAGGTGAGAGGGGTGCTAGTCAGCTAGTGGCTTTTTTCCAGAGAGCATGTTGCATTCCCAGAATCCATTTTAGGAGCTTCACAAACAGAACCGGTGGAGAAGAGGAAACAGGATATAGACTAGCCCCATGTTTAGTGTAGGAAGTATTCCTTGATAACGGTTCAAAACGTACCAGGTATAAATGACTGCTGGTAAGGGAAGTAAGAGTTTTAATACATGTGATGATCCAACACTTCTTATTAAAGCTTAAAATAATGTATTGGAACAGATACAGATGATTGATGAGAATCTCCAGTTAAAATACAGAGATAGCGAATCAGTACAGACAGGCAGCATTGTACAGACGCATATAATTGTTCTTAAAAACAAAAGCTCAGAGTTGGTCCCAAAAAGAAGATAGTGGTCACTAAAGGATAGCAGGTGAATCCCATCAGGACTATAACATACAGTGGACTCGCCTAAAATGCTAATTTACAAGACATAGAAAACGTTCAAACACAAACACAGAATAAAATCTCCTTGTTTCCTGGATTATTTGTCTTAGAAAAAATTTAACGAAATTAGGAGGAGGTTTGAGGAACAACGTTCATTCTCATGGTGGATATACCAGACTGGGGATGCTCCAGCTCACATCCAAGTGTGTGCGTATGTGTGTGTCTGTATCATAAGTGTAGGTGTGTGTATTATAGGGTGATGACGGTGCCGTCCTCCTCCACCCCTCCCCGGGGCAGAGCCAGGCTGTGTCGAGGGTCCGTCCTCATGGTGCTGAGGATTTTGTGCAGGCTGTCGTTGCTCTCCCGGAGGGCTGGGTTGCTACTGTGGTGCTGGGGATGGTGGTGCTGGAGGGTATGGGGCTGGTACTGGGGGTGCTGGAGGTTCAGGTCCCTGTGCAGCATATAGCTGAGGCTACCGTGGTGGGAGAGGCCGTTTAGGCTGGGCTGGGAGTGGAAGGAGGCGGTGGAAACCACAGAGAGGGGTCGGGTAGGGGGGCTGGGGTATTCCACGGGAGCTGGGGGAGGGGCTTGGATGTGGGAGCGTGATGTTGTTGATGCCACGGACACCACTGATGCGTTGGAGCGCCGCGACGGCCGCTTGAGGCTGCTCTCTATGACGATGTCTGACTCCTCGTCGCTCTCCAGCTCGTCGGCGTAGCCGTGGGCGCCGGTCGCCATGGCTGCGGTGGACAGGCTGGGGTAGCCGGTGGAACCGCTGCTGTCTGACGACTGACCGGAGCTGCCAGAGATCCGGCTGGCTCGCACCACGTTGTTCCGCTGGTTCACCGGCTTCACTGTGACAATCAGGTTGTGGCTGTTGGCAATCATCATGTCCGTCACCTGGTCCAATGTCTTCCCAGTCACCTCGATGCCATTGACCTCCAGGACCTCGTCGTTAACAGCCAGCAGGCCTGTGCTCTCAGCCAGGCCCCCAGGCACCATGCGGGAGATGAAGATCCCAGGAACCTTCTCCAGGCCATGGGGCGTCACCCTTACGCTGGTCCCGTCCCGGATGTAGAACCCCAGGGGTTTGTCGGAGCCATGGCGGTAGAGACGAACACGGCGGTGGGACTCCGGCAAGATGTCCACATCGATGATGGAGGAGACTGGCCGGAAGTCCTGTGGCATTCCGATGCGGATGTGAGGTCGCTTCCTGTTGACGTCGTTCCGCAGCGCCACCACAGCCTTCTTCTTCCGGGTCAAAGAGTGGGTCCCATAGCTGCTGTAGTCGACCTCCTCTGAAACACATAACAGGAGAAATAGAACTGGTTAGAACCTTTTCTGAAACACAGAACAGAACTTTATTTGCAGCAATACATTTATGCAGCTCTCATTACCATACACATAAACAGGTCTTAGTCCAACCTCTTCTAACTCGACTCCTGGGTAAAGCAAGTTTACCAGTCCCACTCTAAAGAAACACCCACACAAGGAGTTGAGGACAATGGGAGGTTTCTCATTAAAACCCTTCAGTTTGTTTACTGTGAAATCCTTTCCCTCCACTCCAGAACAAAGCTTTAAGTGGGCTGAACCTGTAGCTGACACTGTTGTACTCTGGGCCACAGAGAAATCCTGATTTGTGCTGTGCTGGTCTGGTGTAGCTCTGCAGCCAGTGGGGTGGAACACAGAGCCATATGAGGAACAGTTGTAATCAAACCAAACACCAGGTGGGATTACAGTTGGAATACCAATCATTCTGATCTCCAGTTGTACACAACACACTGTCTGCAAGCAAGTGCAAGTAAGTGTGATAATGCAAAAGTATTTTAACAGAGCTAAAATAAAAAATGTTCAACCAACTCAATATGTCAAGGCAGTATACCGAGGTATTTGGAAAAAGCCATGGGATGGTTTTTAAATACAGTCAAAACTATTTTCTTTAAAGTTTTTCAATAAATGTGATTTTTATAGCTACTTTTAAAGTTAATTCCTGCAGTCAACTTGTGCAATACATTCTGAGATAAAACAGATTGCGTTTTTAATTTCACCTGTCACATTATTTTACATTAGGAAGTTTACAGTAGTTCCCCAGAACAGTGGATCCAGTCACGTGTTTGTTTGTAAATAGCACAACAGGAGAAAGCGGGAGCTGTTGTGCGGCGCACATGAGGTGATGAAGTTACACTTCTATGCAATTCACTACCTAATGTTTGCTATCAGATATCTTATAACGGTCTTCTGACGTGTTTGAGAAGTCAAAGAGCTCTGGATCAAATCAAATCTAATTTGATTTGTCACATGCTTACTTACAAGTCCGGGTAGCCATTTGATTAGCTGTTCAGGAGCCTTATGGCTTCGGGGTAGAAACTTAAGAAGCCTTTTGGACCTAGACTTTTAGACCTAGACTCTCATCGTTGTCGGTGATCAGGCCTACCACTGTTGTGTCGTCGGCAAACTTAATGATGGTGTTGGAGTCGTGCTTGGCCATGCAGTCATGGGTGAACAGGGAGTACAGGAGGGGACTGAGCACGCACCCCCGAGGGGCCCCCGTGTTGGGGATCAGTGTGGCAGATGTGTTGTTACCTACCCTTACCACCTAGGGGCGGCCCGTCAGGAAGTCCAGGATCCAGTTGCAGAGGGAGGTGTTTTGTCCCAGGGTCCTTAGCTTAGTGATGAGATTTGAGGGCACTATGGTGTTGAACGCTGAGCTATAGTCAATGAATAGCATTCTCACGTAAGTGTTCCTTTTGTCCAGGTGGGAAAGGGCAGTGTGGCGTGCAATAGAGATTGCGTCATCTGTGGATCTGTTGGGGCGCTATGAAAATTGGAGTAGGTCTAGGGTTCCTGGGATAATGGTGTTGATGTGAGCCATGACCAACCTTTCAAAGCACTTCATGGCTACAGACGTGAGTGCTACGGGTCGGAAGTCATTT